CTTTTAAAGCAGCAACGTAATTGATTTTATTTTGAAGGGAGATTCACGTAACCGCCGTTACTTGTCGTTCTGCTGATGCGTTCAGCTTGACGCGTCTCTGCTCCTTTATCAGTGAGCGGCGACTCGTTTCCCCAGCAGGCCGGAACACCTTTCCACCAGCCATGGCTGTTTCGTCATTCATACGCAAAACTCCCGCAGAGGATGATGAGCCCACTCCAGGGAGACCTGCGCCTCATAATAAATACATATATTTAAATAAAATAAAATAAATTAATAAAAAAATTGTAGTTTGCAAGAAAAAAAAGCAACAACAAAAAACTGTTGCAGGTTCTTGATTTCNAAAAAAAAAGAAAAATAAAAAGTTCCACCTACGTTTTCCTCATTTTAAATGCAGACTTCAACTTTCCTAAAGCCACCACTGAGGTCATGTCTAAAGTCATGGAAGTCAGTAATCACCAGTTGAGACATTACTTAAGTTAAAGTAGCAATTCCACAGACTCACTCTGCATTTAAACTCTTACTTAAGCAACATTACATAAGCTGTAGCATCGAAATACAACCAAACTATACTCATTATGCAGAACAGGTCATTTTGAAATATTATATATTATATCTCAAAATTATAACTAGAGATGCATTAAGGTGTAAACGTCACTAATGTGACTGGTAAAGTTCATAAACTACTTTTTATACTTCCAGGTAGCTTTAACTATTATAATATAGCACAATTTATCTCTTTTTTTTGGAATTGTATTATGAAATCTGCAAGGTAACTACTAACAAAATGTGCCAAAGAGATGCATTACAGTAAAAAGTACAATATTCCCCTCTGAAATGAAGTTGAGAAGCATAAAGTGGGAATGCTCAAGTTAATGTATTCGGTTACATTCCATCACTGGGGTTCTGCAGTCAATCCCACTGTTTTACATTACAACATTATAACGCTCACAAAGGCATCACAAAGTGAGTCACAATGAAAGACAAAAGACCCTTTGATTTTAGTCAATGGTGGGAAGGGTGGGGCAGCAGTTTCAACCGCTTCCACAATATTTCTAATTACGGTCTTTGAAAAGAAAACATTGCCTGAAACCACATATTTTTATTTTTGTAGAGATATAGACTACATGAGGCTGAGATGGAATGTTGTATAATTTGTACACTGAGCCTAAGTTGTGTGAATAAAGTAACAAAATCGTATTATTAAAAGGTAAAAAGGTCCGGGTCGATAGAGGAGACTGTGTTGTTTGCAGTCATTCTCCACATGCTACAGGAAGGCATGAATCTATGGCATCACAACATCCAATAAGATACAGAAAATTAGGAAAATAAAACAGTTAATATAACAAAATCTGCAACATTGTTTGCAATAAATGGATAAGTTACTATAAAGTGAATGCTTAAAGCCTCAGTTTCTTTGTTTTGAGTTACATACTGACACTAAACACAAATGTCAAAGGACTTAAAAAGCTTTTATTTTGACTTAATGCATTTAAATGAGATACTTTAAGCAGCAAAACATCATAACATTTTAATGAACCAAGAATGATTAAATACAAAACGTGACTGTAAAAGGAAATTCCAACCTGCTTGCCCATAGTCGCTATAAATTAATGTCTGTTTGTCACTTTCACCTTGCTGTCTTATTTCATCATGTATTCTCTAAAATGAGTGTATATCTGCGGATCATGTGTTCTATAAACAGATCACCAAAAACTATGCACATTGCACCACCAGTGGACAAAACAGGAGGTGTCACGAGGAGCCCACAACTTATTTTTGCCCCCAGCTTCCCAAAAGGGTGAAGTGGCCCTGTGATTCTAACAGTGACTAAGCATTAGGTTAGTGTTTATTGTGATGGAGCTCTGGATACAGAAGCATTCATGTGGCTGTGGTTTGGCACCAGCTTAAAGTGTAAAATGGCCACCAAGGCAAACCACCAATATAAACATTTCAGTGTTCATTTAGAAAAAAAAAAAAAGGTTATTTTGACGTTGTTTTTCCTCATTTAACTGTGGCTGAAACCAAACATTCAGCTTTCTCGATAGTGTTTTCTTTTGTGCAGTTATGGTAATACAGACTATAATGTCGTAAACCAGTCATGGAGAGTAAATCTGAGGGAGGCCACTTGTATTTTTACCCTCTTGTGCTTAAACTCAACTCAAGGAAGAGGAAAATATTGCACTTTTCTTCCTATTACATCAGCTAGCACTTATATTTACTTTTTCAATGTTGCAAACTTAAATTTCCCTAATATGACACATTGTAAAGGCACAATCTACCAACAGCATATATATTTAGCTCAATCTTGCACATTTAAATTGCTCCTGCATGCTAATGCATTAATAATAATACAAAAATTTAGAATAATATTTTAACTTCCTGTCAGTTTATGCTTTCTGAGCTAATATTTATTGAGTAAGTGCACTGCTTTTATTTGTATTAACTACTAGAATGCTTCATCCACCACTGTTGTAAACATTTGTGAGAGCTGCTATTTTATATTTCAGTCACAGTGAGTCAAACTGCGTCGTTTAGGCAACGGCACTACTTTATTGTACCAACAGCCTGTGGAATGCGCGGAGGGACACGGCGGAGTGAGGCGGCTGGTGAATTTTTTCGGCGTGTCTGAGTTCTCCAAGGACGATACAGAGTAAACATCCCGCTACTATTTCAGGTCCGGCCGGCGTTAGTCAGTGCTGACTCCGGCCGTGTAGTGGCAGTTAACGGACACACCACAACACAAGAAGCCCCGATAACGTACGACACAACGCGTCTGGCGTGTTTGGATAAGTTTAGTCGGCTTTCCGTGTGCCCCGGAGCTCCCCTCCACATGGAGCCTTTCATGGCCCCTGCGGTTCACCGGAGTCCCTACAGCAGCCTCTGCACACTCTGGCGCTCACCTCAGGCTGCGAGTGGGAACTTGTCTGAAAAGCTAACAGAGAAATTCTTCGGGGCTTAGTGTCGGAGCAGCTCATACAAAAACAATACTTTGAAGAGCTGCGAGAAGCGCCTGGGCTTCTCTGTCTGCATGACTGTTCCAGCAGAAATCAGTCATGCCGATAATGTTTACAGATAGGCACCTGAAATTATTTGCAGAGTTTCTTCAAAGGGCAGATGTGCAAACACAGCACAGCGCAGGCCATGCTGATTTGGAGCCTGTGCATCAAGGCCCACACACCCCTGCACTTCACAGCATCCTTCCTCAAACCAGTTGTTCCTGAGATAGAAAATACTTAATTTCTATTTGATGATATTGGTTTCTTACTTTGCTAAACTATAGCATTTCTATAGTGTGCAGCAGAAGTGACTGCATGTGATTTGAATGTCAAATGATTTGCATCACCTCTCAATAACTGCATTATTTCTAAGTTGATAAGTATTGTCTCTAATCAACAATAAAAATCCCCCCCAAAAAAGAAAACTTAACAAAGATCCTTTTGAAATTTCAGGCCTCAAAATTGAGACTCAGTGCAACAGAGAACCTGTGATCATTGTAACTAAATTCAGTACACTGAATTGAACTGTGATTTCCTATTAGTCTACCTGCAGGAGCGTGGTTGTGAGATGACATGTGACCAGCAGAACTTTGTCAGTGTTGGAGCTATGGGCTGTGTCTGTCTGCATGTCTGCATCATGGCTCCACATGGAAAGAAGTGCCAGTGGACCTGATTAATGCGACTGTATTACTTCACAAATATGGACAAGGATATGGGAAGATATATAAGCAACTAAAAATCAGTGAAAGCACATTTGCAGCAGCAATCAGGAGCTAATCAGAGCTGCAGCAATCGTCCTCCAGAAATGACAATGTGCTACTTGCACAACTTACCTCTAAAAATCTGATTGATTGCCTCAGTGAATAGTTTCAGTGACCGCTCAGCAATCTGTCTCAGTCACCAGCTTGCACAATAACTGTACCGGGAAATACTTCAGCTAAAGTTATTAGTTGCACCTGCACCTTTCCTGCTTTCCTCCACAACATATGGGATGAACACTAAATACTTAGAGCTGGATTTACCTGTTTCAAGGCCCCCGGGGGCAAAAAATGAACCATTAGGCCCCTATTGACCACCACTCCTGCCTACAGTAGTTCCCATCATACACTGCACCCATCAAAATGTATGTGGATTCATCCTTATATAGCTCACAGGTCCACAAACTAAGCAGCACTCATGTACATAATAACAGCCGTTGTTATTTTCTGTGTCGGCTGTTAAGTGCTAATTTGTTTAAACACATTTGTTCAGGAATATTCACCCTGTATCATATAAACTAAAGCGGATAATATTTTAGTTAAAGGACCAGTGATTTTGCATGTCATAGTGGGGTGATATTAGTGCAACAACAGTCATATGTGACCTGTTGATAGGGAGCTGTGGTCCTCAAACGGCTGGTGCAACAATAATATTCTAATCTCATGAGACTGGTTTGACAGAAAGCCTATTTTCTATGTAAATAATAGAATTATACATTTTGTTTTCTGTATTGCCGTTGACCTTCTTTCATTGTGCTTGCTGGTATCATGTCACACTTTAATCACTTATTGGGGCAGTTGAACACAGTGTGGTCATCATAATGTTATTAGTTATGTGTCACTTGTATTTTTCCTTCATTTCATTAGTTTCAAATACAACCTGTGAGAGATATTTACAACCCAAAGAACACAACTTTCAACTGCTTTTAATCATTTATGTTTGTAAGCACTGCAATCCTAGTCAGTGCAACTGGGCCAATTTGTGGTTTCTTTGCATTGATGCAGATAAACCACAAATTGGTGCATGAAAATTAGTTTGTTGTTAAATTTTGTTTTACAAAACCTACTTCCTGCTATATGAAAATAATTAAAAATGACTGAAATCATACACTGAGGACTTATTTTCACTCGCCAAGCTTTGTTTGATGCATTTTACAGATAAAAATCCCCCTTGTATTTACTAAACACCGACTTCTTCACTGAGAATAACGGGACCGACGGGCTCTCTGTGGGTCTTCAGCTCCACCTGGCGGTCAACGCAGAGCAGTGCAGACAAGATGGCGGCCCCCGTTAGGACGTTGTGCTGTTCAGGTGAGACGGAGGTTACCCACAAAATATCTTGTATGTGTGGCCTGTTTAAAGGCTAAAGTAGAGCTCCGTTGCTGTAAGTGTTCGTTTTTACTGCTTGCTACCTTCGACACAGCTGCTTTTGCAATAAACCTGCATAAATGCCGTCGCGTCGACTAGCCATGCTAACGTTGAAGCTAACAGTTGTGTCAACTGAGCGTCTGTCAGGAGTCCGTGTAGCTGTTTGTTAACAGAACAAAGTGCTAATTAAAGTAAATTCTGTGATTTCCGTTCGTCTGTGGGTGTAATTTTCTTTCTCTTTTGGTATTTTCCAGTGTTTAGACTGTCCAGCAGACAGCTCAGCACGACATGTGGAGTACAAGCTGGGCAGAAATGGAGGACAGAGTAAGTTTACTGCTGTTGACTGAGACTAAAATAAAGTTTTTCTTTTCTTTTTAAACACCAGAAACACTCTCTGACAGCAGACACTTGCGGCCTGTTGTCATTAACAGTTGCACTGAAAAACACAACATCACAAACATTACTATACTCAAGAATTGGGGGGGAAAGTGTACATTGGACCAATTTCCTTCTTTTCTGTTTCTGGGGAAAAAGAGTAGATTTGGGTTCAGGTTGCGTCGGATGAAATGTGGAACCATAGAATAAACTGAAAAGATTGCATCAAGAAACAAGCTCCTTTCTGTCATGCACCCTTGATGGTATCTGAATGTGTTTGCTTCATGTCTGAATGAACATTTGGGTATGTTTACCATACAAGTCACATTGGTAATTGTACTAGAATAGACCTAGAAACATTTTTATATCCATTTTAATACAGCACTAATCTGAGCTGCATGTAGTCACAGTAATAGATGTGCTCACAAGCGTTGTACTTCAGGTGATTTAGGTAAGACCTTTTCACATTTCAGTTGCAATATTGGTCCAAAAACATCACAAGACTAAAAAATGCAGTTTGCTTTCAAAATCACAAAAGTTTCAACAAGTCGTAGACAGAAGCTGAGGTTTAGTTTGTCCCTTCCAGCTGATTGTAGATCTTTCCACTTAGTTTATGAAATGCCTGCAGCATCAGAGAGCAGCAGGATCCATGTGAGTGCTTCCAAAGAGAGAGATTTGCATGCATTTACATACGAAACGGCAGCAGCGGTCATTTCATCAACAACTCCTAAATAGAAATAATCCCCCTCATGGAGACAGGATGGATCAGGATCTAGCAGCAGGTCACACTGTGCACTTTTCTTCTCATCAGACAGGTGAGCTGTCACACAGGGTCACAGTTTATTAGCTGCAGGAGTTAAATTACCATCACATGTGGTCATTTCAGGTGTTTAGGAAATCAGAAATGCACAAGGTTGTTAGTTACTTGACCAGTTTGATGAGGTCGCTACTAGTTCAGATTTACTCTTTTTTTAATTAGTACAATATTATGTGTTACTTGATGTTCTGTCCAATCCTGTGTGAAGAATGAATATTTTGTATTCTTTCTCTCTCTCGTTGGTGGGTTATCTGAATTAAACTGTGAGGGACATTAACATAAAAGGGAACTATGTCTGACTGACATCACTTTACCAGATTAATGCAGCCAGAAATGTTACGTATACCATGTCTGGGAAGGACTTTATTGAACTGTGTGTGTTTGCTTGCAGACATGGACTTGCCAGAAGCGGCACAGAATATGGACCTCTGACAGATCTGCCTGATTGGTCTTTTGCAGGTATTTTTGCTGCACTTTTTGTAGAGAAACAACAGATGTAAATGTATTTATTTGCTGACTTGTTGCATAGCTGTGCTGTGGTTGTAATCCCAAATATTTCAACTCATTATTTTTCCTTTTCTGTTGATTGACAAACTGTGAATGTTCTAAGACTGCAAATGATTTACGCTGTCTGCGATGAATCAATCTCTTTGGGAACCTCCAGGACACTCGTTCTAATATATTTTTTTTATTTTGGGATGTATTTTCAAGCAATACAGCTAACGTGACACAACATTTAATGAGGGGAGATATACTGCAACATCATTTATAGCAGTTTGTGTATTTATGTTGTATGAAGTTTGATAATGTGCTTTGGTTTGCCCGGTTCCATTTCAGAAGTAAGGGAAGATAACTATCGAAGATACTCTTTCATTACTAATATAAGATTAAATGATTTAAGATTAGCTTGAATATTTTGTATTAGCAACAACGTAGTGTGTATTGGTGTCTTATTTTCTTATCATTTCCATTTGTTTACCTGATTTGTCCCTTAAGTTTCTTTCCACATCATGCTGTTATACTCAACTTGAGATATTGTGGAAAAGCTACGACCACATTTAGAAAAATGTAATCAACTTGCAGTACATTTAGAAATTTATGGCCACATTAGTTTATATGTGTGTGTTCACTTTCTTTTTTTTTTTTGGACAGATGGACGACCTGCACCTCCACTGAAGGGCCAACTGAGAAGAAGGGAAGAGAAAGAAGCTCTGGCTGTGAGTATTACAAAAATAGCATCTTATTATCACTCTTCCTTTGTTCAATTACATCTCACACTCATCTGTTCACAATTCTTTTCACAGAAGCGCATTGTGACGCTGAGCTCGGAGGTGGACCAAGGAATAGAGATGTGGAAGGATAAAGTGGCAGAAGCTAAAAGAGCGGAGGAGCACAAGAAGTCTCTTTTACTGAAACCTAAAGGGAAGCTATTAATGAAGAAAAAATCTAAAAGTTAGACGCAGATATTCTGAACAATATGTTGATATTCAGCCTGATAGATGTATTTATGAGGACTTATGGGTTTTCTTCTGCTTTGTAATTTGTGTTTTTCTCAATATCCATGCAATAAATGTTTGTTCAAGACTTTGAATACAAAGATTTTGGGATCATGTTGGTCAGCTGATTACCAGTTCATTTTACTAGTTTTAATGCTGAGTTAATGTCTCTGTGCTTCCACTAGAATGCAGCATTTCTCCTCTGTAAGGCAGCGTGACGCCATTTTGTCTGGTGTTGGACTCAGAGGAGTTTTGTTGGGCTGGCAGAGGAAGGGAGGAGCTGGCAAACATAAAGCAGCACTGATTCAGGACTTTACTGTGCATGTGTGCTCGAGGGAGAGCGAGGGGTTCACACCTTGGCGTGCTGTAGCTGTTCGTACTCAAAATACACGACAAGTGTTTCAGTCCAGGCCGCCTCAGTGAAGCAGATATCAGCATGTGATGCCAACGCCAGAATACTTGACAATTTACACACTCGTGCAAAATCTAAGGTCAAAATATTTGACGGTGCAGCAACAATGGGGCTCATGATTGGGCTTTGTGTTTATTGTTTTTCACTGGGCATTTTCTACAAAGAAAAGGGGAAAAGCTGGAATTTTGATTGAGCCTTTCCGTAGCCTGATGTCTGGAAAGATGATTAACCGACTGCAGCCAAGTTGGCAGAAAGTTTAATCCAATGGAAAGCGATATTTTCTGCTATCAACACACATTCTAAGCTGCATAACGCTTTAATGAATTTGCGCCGCCTCATGTTAAAAGCATAAATCAGCTGTGAAAAAGACGCTAAAAATCCAACTCCTGTTCCGTTTCGGTACTCAGACTTGAATCTTTTGTACTTTTTAGGCAATAAGTTGAGCCTAACCTTGTGTTTCATGCGCTTGGGGTGAACAGGGACGTTTTGCAGAGATGCTGTGCAGCTGTGCCTTTGTTTAGTCAGCATTAATTTAGTGCGACTTTGACTTATAAACGGACTATTTACAAAGTGAGGTCAGCCTCTCCTCTCTGTCCCCCTCTGCTCGCCCTTACTTTAGCTTTCTTCTCCCTTCATCACGTTTTTCTTCTGCTTCGTTCTCTCTCTCTCTCACTCTCTTGCTCTTTGCCCGGGTCTTGTTGCAGACTTCAGCAAAGCCTCACTGTAATTAGGGCTGCTAGCCGCTGAGTTGCAGATTCTTTTCTGTGGAGATGGGAGTTTTCTCCCCAACCTCCCCCCCTCCTCCTTGTCTTAACTTTTTCATACAGTTGACCAAAGGAGCTGACTGTTTGTTGTGTTACAGAAGTGTGGGAGGACATTGAGCAGGCCACAGAGGGTGTCGTAAGAGGTGTCAGCAAGGCGACAGTCCTCGTTCACACACATCCTCACACCTGGAGCGTCAAAGACCTCCCGACTGCACCGGCACTGACAAATGTAACTCCCCATTCTTTCTCTCGACCCACCATCTTTTCACATGCTGCTTTTCTGTGAATGTCTTTCTCCCCCGACTCCTCCCATCCTCCCCCATCTCTCCCTTCCTCTCCTCCTCGTGTTGTTTTGGTTTTGTGGAAATGAGAACCAGATGTTGCTTATTGTGCAGAAGTCAGCGATGGAGGGAGGGAGGGAGGGAGGGAGGGCCGGTGGGTGCTTCAGGGGGGTAAGGGGTGTAAGGTGAGGTCGGTGTGCGAGGATGGAGGATAAAGGGAAGGAGGGAGCTTGAAGGATGAGACAGATGTGGTTGCATTTGAGGATTAGCTGAGACGTCTCTGTAGTCTCACCCACAGACCAGGAACAGGGAGGGTTTCCTGGCAGGTCGGACTGGGACGGGGGGCGCAGGAGGATGGGCAGCGCCACCGGTGCCGAGTCGGGGGGTTTGTGGAGAGTCTGATTCAGCAAAGACCGCTTCCTGACCTGGGTGTTCCTGGGGTACGGGGCAGCTTTGGTAGCATGTTTGACAAAATTACACGGTCTGAACATTTTGAACTACACATGACTGTATGAGAACTGGAACTGCAGGCTGCAATTATCCTTGTTTGTTGCTAGTTGGACAGTAAACCACGTGACCTCCTTGGTATCCTTTTTTTTTTTTGCTTTTCATGCTACGGAGACAACAAATTATGTAAAGATGCTTATGCTCAGTTGGAAATAATTGATGAGGCTGGAAGTAGGTTGAGGTCAGCAGTAGGGTAACAGTGACGATACATTAAAGAGCCAATATTATAGTCAGTTACAGATTCATAGTTATATTTTGGAGGTCTGCTAGAATATATTTAACATTTTCCTTATATTGTACATGCTCCAGCACCTTTTCTCATCTTCTGTCGGAAATGTTCCACTTTAGCTCCTTTCTTTTAAAGGCCCCAAAAGCCAAGTCTACTCTGATTGGTCAACTGGCCCAATGAAAGCGAGGTAATGCTGATTATGTACCGTAACCCTTATATCGATGAGTATAGGGATGTAGCTCTAACAGAAACAGTTTTTGAGAGGAAATTCTTTGTTTGATGGTGTACCAGACCAACTTCTAGGCAGGCATTGTGTAAATGTGCTACATGATGACATAGATAAGTAACGGAAAAAATGCCTCGACTGAAAATGAAGTGTTTCAGGCAGATATGGAGCAGTATTTTCTTTAGGCAAAAATAGCTCCCTTTAATGCTGACTTTTGGCTTTGTAATTTAACAGACTAAAGAAGGGATAAAATACACAAAAAAAATAAAAAATGCATGGGCTTTTTAATGTGAAAATACTCCATTACAAGAGTATTCAGACTCCAAAAGCAAAAGTACAGTAGCTGCATCTTCAGAACATACTTATTACAAGAGTAAAAGCACTTGTTTTTCCCCCCCAAAAAAGTCTCCCAAATGCCTTTTATGGCCACCAAGTTGCAGTTATCATGGATGCTATTTAAAAAAAAAGTTGAGTACTTAACTAGCCTTATTTGGAGTTATTTTAAAATAAACAAAGCTTAAATCAATGATAAAGAACGCAAACTTAGGAACTAAAAAAGATGTAGTTGCTTTAAAATGTTGACTTGAATATTAGTAGTATAAATAACTTATTTTACTCTCAACTATGCTACTTCAAATTTATAGTGCCAATAATGTATCTCAGTTTACAGTGTGTCAGATAACTACATGGAGTTTGAAGTACGATATTCCATCTGAAATGTGTACAAGCATAAAGTAGCACAAGTTCAAAATTGTACAAATATTTGAGTGAACGTATCGAGTTGCTTTCCTCCTCCGAATTCCAGTCAAACTGAGAAAATGAGGAGAAAAACGGAAAACTACAGTTGAAATTACTGTAGAAAGCAAATGGTGCCATAATGTAGGTCACCCAAACAAAGTCCCAGGTTGAATTGCAAGCAGCTGTCCTGGCCACTTCCTGCCTGGCATGGAGAAGGACTGCTGAGCCTGGTGGTTGTTCCTGCACCGCCCAGCCACACTGTATGAGTTCAGCATTAAAATGGCTGACGGGGGGAGAGAGAGGAAGACAGAGAGGCACGGGGGAGAAAGAGGAATGGAGGCCAACATGACTACCAAAGGTCTCATCTGTATTCATCTGTGTGACCTACAAGACGAGAAGCAGAGCACATGGGTGGCAGATGAATAGCAGCTCCCTCCAGATGTCCAGATTGCTGCGCAAAATAGCCAGAATCAAGTTTAAAAAATGTGACACAAGTTTTATTTCTTTCCCAGCTCCCTCTTCCCCATCATCGACATCTTTCACAGTCATTAAACATCTCCTGCATGGATTTCCTTTACCTCTTGTTGCTGTTAATTTCAGGCTAATATGACTTCTTTGTCTTCAGGTCTGAGAGAAATACTCCGATAATTACTCAGACTTTCCGTTTGACTTGCTCATAGCCTAAAACCAGGCAGACATCACTTCATTTTAAGGTCATTTCAATCAGGTCAGCTGCACATGCTCCCTAAGACAGGAAAGGAAGTGATTGAAACAACATGGACAGTGACGTTCCTTGCATTTGAGTGGATCACAAGTTCATAAAGGCATTCAATTTTAGCAGTTTTCTTCCAGGTAAATCCCCTAAATATGAGTCACTGCTCAACAGAACCAGCTGAACTCTAATAACTGCCTCAATTTCCTCTGTAATAAATAGCTAGCAGGACACTAGTGTAAAATAACTCCTTTTTTTTTGTGAAGAAAAACAGGGCTGCAGGGTGGCGCAGTTGGTAGCACTGCACTGCAAGAAGGTTGCCGGTTCGGGGCACCGGAATCTTTCTTCGTGGAGTTTGCATGTTCTCCCCGTGCAGCGTGGGTTCTCTCCGGGTTCTCTGGCTTCCTCCCACACAGTCCAAAAACATGTTGAGGTTAATTGGTGATTCTAAATTGTCTGTAGGTGTGAATGTGAGTGTGCTTGGTTGTCTGTCTCTAAGTGTAGCCCTGTGATAGACTGGTGACCTGTCCAGGGTGTCTCCTGCCTTCGCCCTGAGTTGGCTGGGATAGACTCCAGCCCCCCATGACCCTGGTGAGGATTAAGTGGTGTATAGATAATGGATGGATGGATGTCCAAAAACAGTTCATGCAGCATGCAACCTATGACCCGTTTCAAAGGCTGCTTCATTAAAAAGCATCAAACTCCATGCTAATTTTTTGGCCGACCGTAATCTAATATTGTGACTGCTGGGAGGTTGCATTTGGAAACGTGAAGCGTTCCCACGCAGTATCCATCACTGATCGAGCAGAGCGGCGGAGGTTCATCTGTACAGATAGACTAGTCCAAACGGTTACTGTGCATGAGAGAGAAATGGAAACACCAGGTGACAGAGAGAGAGAGAGAGAGAAAGAGTTTGGCCAGTGTAGGAGGAAAGAAGTCGAACAGATGTGGCTCGAAAAAAAAAAGGGAGAAAATGTGAAGTCGGTCAGGCTAGTGTATACAGTATATTTCTGCAAGTGAGGCAGAGACACGGTGGAGAAAACCAGATTTTTAAATCAACAGTGGCTGCATGAACCAAAAACCAAAGCCTGATCTGATTGTGGATAGTTAGATCAATAAGGATGAAAATGAAGGATTTGTCTGTGAAGCAGTGAGACCAGATGTGTGTTGAAGTGGCCACAGTGATGTAAAAGTGTACTTCTAGGTGGGTCAGTACACTGTGATATCATTGTTGGATGCAATTGCGGATTATTTTGGATTTCTAGCTTCTCTCTACTCCCTTGTTTCCACATATCTTTGTTTGTGTGAGTCAACTGGATGTCCATTCCTTCTTCTAGGAACCTCTGTGATCTCCGATGTCTTCGCAAAACTCCTCCTTCTGTTGTTTTTTTTCTTCTCCCGTCTGAACTTTGCCTCAAGTATGTAGACAAATGTGAACTTTTGTGGTACATTTGACTATGTGACAGGAAGCTGGAAACATTAATTAGCTGACCGACTATTTAGTTGCTTGACTGTGTTGACAAATTGTGTAAATGTTTAATTAAAAAGAAGATAGTTTAGTTAGTGTAAGGCAGGGATAGATTGCATTCTGGTTTATAAGTCTTGCAACAAAATATTTCACCAAACTGGCTCCACATCTGGCAGGGCAGCCACCTCACGTAGTCCTCATCCTGCATCATTGGTCCTGTTTTTGTCGCCGTAATGCACATGTTGTGTCTGGAGCAGGATGTGTTTGTGGTACCAACTCCAATTAAAAAAAATAAAAAATCACCTCCTGACCAATCAGAAGAATGGCCCCACCGTTTAATTGTGTGATTGGTCATCTGATGCCAACAGCGCCTCTTTTATGTGAACAATAACCAGGTTTAGCTTAAACTTAACACCTAAATAAGTGACTGTTTGCTAACGAGTTCACAATATTAACTTTAAATTGTATATTAATGTCACTAATATGTCAATGACGTGTTTGCAGCTTGTTTCTGCTGCGTCCAAGTGGCAAAACAAGTTCAGGAAATGCAGCTTTAAGGAGGAACGAAGTAACTTTTTGCAATTCAAGATAACATCAGCAGTGCTACACAAACACAATGTTTGTCATAATTTAATAACAAAGAATTCTGTTAGGGACACTATTGGCAGTCCTTTGGTTGGAATTTGCAGCTGTAGTTACAAAATGATCTCATTGTTCTGGAATTTTTCTCCGGATTTAACTTTAGTTGAGTTAGTTACCTAATTGCATCCTTCAATGGCTGAGATTTAATAAAAAGATGTTTCTAAAATGCAGTTTTTATGCCGCAATGTGACACAAAGTGTGCAAACAGGATCGTAGATGCTTAAAGGTGATCAACAATAAGAACAAAAGGCAAAGTCACAAAGACAGGAACAGTAATGTTTTTAAAGTAACCTAATTCATATCATGTATAACGAAATATTTAATTGACAGGATGCGGCCTTTGGCACTAAACCACAGCAAGATTTGCACCAGTTTCCTTGAAGCTGCGGTTTCTTCATGTTGTTTGTTGTTTACACCGACAGTATGTGAAGAGTTAAAGCAGAGAGGAAAGAGGGGAAGGGGGAGGAAAGAGCAAAAACAGACCAGAGATACTTGTGGTGAGAGGAGGAGTGGTTTGAGACTGAAGCCTCATAAAAAGAACAATTTTGCAGTGGGTGAGGAAATAAGAACGAGGAGGGAGAAGGAGGGAAGGAGGAAGGGAGGGAGGAGGCTTGCAGAAGGATAGAAATGTGTGAAGGGAAAAATATCCCCCAACCTATAAAATAATTTCTCTTTAACTGCCCTTCTCACTTCCCTCATCTCACCTCTCCTTTCTCGCTTCTTGTTTTTTCTTTACACACTATTTTTCTTTGCAAATTTTTTTACTTTATAATAAATTTTAAGCGTAAAGAGCCGAGCCGTAAATTTTTCTTTGCATTCAAGCGAACGTACACACATACACACATGCAGGCTGCAGCCGGGGCCTGGCCGAGAGGCAAGGATGTTTCAAGAATACCAGATGCTCGGCTGGAACGCATTTCTCTGAAAAATGTGACCGTTCCATCATTTTTTCCACCTCGTTCCTCGACACATGACTTTCTGGCTCCGCGTCCAAAACAAGCGGCGGTGTAACTGTATCCACACTGCTCCTCTGCATCTGTGAGCTGCAGCAAAGTCAGACCTGCTGAAGGCCTGCTGGGGACTCAGATGTGTCACATGACCTTTGCCACATATCTCTTGTTTTCCTTGTTTTGTTATTTTTTTTTACGGTTCTGCTTGTTAACCCTTTCCACTCTGGAGGTCTCCACACTGGAACCAATTATTGTCTGCCTTGTTCGACTATGAGTCCAACTTTCAGAACAACAGCATCATTGTCACTGATTTATTGTTGTGAGGTTGTTACTTACTCCCAAATTTACAGCTTTTATGAGACATGTTTTTCTAATCTCATTCTGGCCTAGTGGCTGGAACAAGGAGACTTATTGTATTTTAAAAATATCCCAAGTGTCTTTTTATCCGTGCAGCTCAGGGTTGTTTATTCTGGTCATACGGTTTTGCAGTGACTGAATGTCAGGATGTTTTATCAGGTAGAAATTTTATAATATATCGTCAGGCTCGGTGGTTAGCACCGTTGCCTCGCAGCTAGAAGGTCGCTGGTTCGCGTCCTGGTGAGGACACCTGGGATCTTTCTGTGTGGAGTTTGCATGTTCTCCCCGTGCAGCGTGGGTTCTCTCTGGGTTCTCCGGCTTCCTCCCACGAGGTCCAAAAACATGTTGAGGTTAATTGGTGATTCTAAATTGTCCGTAGGTGTGAATGTGAGTGTGCTTGGTTGTCTGTCTCTAAGTGTAGCCCTGTGATAGACTGGTGACCTGTCCAGGGTGTCTCCTGCCTTCACCCTGAGTCAGCTGGGATAGACTCCAGCCCCCCATGACCCTGGTGAGGATTAAGCGGTGTATAGATGATGGATGGATCCTCAGGCTTAATATCTAGATTACCTTTTTAGCATTTTATTTTTGATACCAACAGTAGAGAAACACAGGATATGATATATTTACATGGTTGTGCACAGTGCAGGTAATGGCCAGATTTAAACTGCTTAATATCTTTAATTATAACTTGATCATTTGTGATAAAATGCTGTCAACGAAAACACACAAAAAAAAATCCCAGTAAGAAAGAAATCCTGATTACTACCCCTCAGAGCAGCCTGTAATGGAAAGAAAGGAAAACCTCCTTCAGCTGAAAAAAGCAGCTGCTGATCTGGCGACCGCTCGGTTTGAAACTGGAAGCAAACTGGAATGATGTAATCCTCCCGAATACTTCAGTCTCCAACAAAGAAATGTTACAAAATAGAAGAAATAGCAAAGAAACACAAGCGAATCTATTCGATACGACGCCAGCTGGCACATATTTTGTGCGTGCCACTTGAACTTTTGCACACTAACTGTCCAAATAGTTAATTATGAAGATCACAATCTGGGTTTTATAGTTTTAGTGTGCAGCATGGTGTTGGGACACCGTCTCAGGCTAGTTCTGCAGATGTTTGGCTTGAATGCAGGTATGTGACCGTCCTAAAATGATTTCTTTCTGTTGCCATAATGTCAGCTTTTCAGGAATTAAGGACACATATATTTTTAACATGACTGCAATGTTGTTTTTTATGAGTAAGATTTAGTAAGAGATTCACAACAACATGGGTAGCGCTGCTCTCAGTTCATAATTCTTCATCAGTCGATGTGAAAGAAGGGGATTTTTCATCCAGAATAGTTGAAAATAAGAATATATATAGTTCTGGATAGTTGATAGTTTTGGATATTTTTAATTTTAAAGTGAGAAAAGTAGGGATCAGTATAAAAAAATGTGAGTCTGTATATATTTAAAATGCTATAGAAGAAAATATGAAAGAATAGAAAAAAGCCATTTGTAGAAAATAGTTTAATTTCACTTTATCTAATGAAATACAAAAGTGAAAACAGGCAGGAAAACATCTCATTCCATTTTATTGATAAGATCATCATTATAAATATCATTACCATTATCATTGTTATTAACTAAATCAATTCACCTTCAATTTTGATTGGTGTAAAAAAAAAGATAAAAGAAAATCATTGAGCACCATCTGTGTCGTAGTTCATAAATAGCATTGCTTGTTATTGTGTGCCAACAGCTGAGTAAAACGGGGTGTTTCACATTACAAAAAAGAAACTCCCTGAACTCACATTTGTCCCTCTGATCTGATCTAATTCACCACACGCTGCATGTAAACCGGGATTCATTTCCATCATTGCCATGTTATGCCTCTGTCCAGCAGGACTCCAAATGACAATGTACAAAAGCAAAAAAAAAAAAATTATTATAACTTTTCCAAGAGAACAATAATAACAATAATCATACTTATAATAACAACAATTTCCCATAAAAACGATAACAATTAAAAATTGCACCATATTGTTGGAAAGCGTACCGCTTACTGACCCAGTTGGACAAGTAGCTGTGCTCGTACTCAACATTATTGTACTGGAGTCTTTGAAAAGTGTCATTTGTGAGATAAAACATCACATTTAAAAATATTTTTTTTTTCCATCTGACTGCTTGCACTGAGTTTGTCTTGAAATTTTGAGTGTCTGAGGCTGTGATTACATCAAATATGTGCAGATACAAATTCCTGTTCTTGTACCAGAAGGATCATCTTTCAGCTGGGGCTCAGCTGTCTCATGTGAAGTCTGATGTGTTCCAAAGTCTGCATCAATCACTATTAACACTGTGCATAAGGGATGTGCTTTTGTGTGCAGAGGAATTTTTGGCATCCTGCAAAAAGGAAAATCACCAAAATGATAAGAATTGAGAATAACAGAAAAAAAAATGTTTTGTTAATTGAGGTTTCATTTACTCAAACATAATAGACCTTTCTTTTATCACATGATCAGAAAAAAAAAAAGGCATATGTTTATTTCAAATAAGGCAACACAGACTCATTTGCTGTGGACTGATTCAGTCTTGGCCGGAAGAAAACCCTGATAACTAAAAAACTGAACAGAGTCAGTGAACTTTTATCAGGCCCCCCCCCAAAAAAAACTTATTTCAGAACCTTACTTTGAGCATTTTCATTCCACAAAAACAAAGTTCTTGAGACGTCTCACGCTGAAGTAACACTTGAAGTAATTAGTCTCAATAAAACTGTCTGAAGTCAGACAAACTGATTTCAATCTGGAACGACTTGATGACAGAATAACTACTCAGTGCTGTGGAAACATTTTGTACTGATTTTGTATCCCAGGCCTTCTTAGTGGTACAAAACAATCAAACACTGGATTTAAGGGCAAATGTCATGTTGAAACAATGATTTTCAGAGTAAACCCCCACCCTCCTGAAAAAAAAACAAACAAAAAAAAAAACCCTGATGGATTTGACAGCAAATGTATTTCAGAGCAAAAACCTCGAACAGAGATGATGAATTTCTGAGTAAAAGTCAAACAGAAACACAGAAGTGAATCAGACAGCAGTTCAGCTGGAGTCGTCCAGTTAAAGGAAAGGATGGGATGTTTTTTTAATACCTGGGATGCGAGAGGAGAGAGGCGGGAGGGAAGCTGTTGATGAGTCTTTGTATATTTCCATTCTCTATGTGAGATTGCGGGTACGTTCTTAATCTCTGAACACAGAACAGTACATGTAAATAGTTAACATACAAATATACATTTTCCTGATTTCAGTTTCTAGGGCCTTTCTTGTTGTTGTTTTTTTCTTTTTTCTTTTGTGGCACTTACAAACCACCCAAAACTTAACACAACGTCCCACATTTCCGCTGTCTTTCCTCCACATCTCCGCATCTTCCTCCTCCTCTCGTTTCCATCTTCACCCGGCCCTCGTTCCCTCATTCTCTCTCTCTCTCCCCCTCTGCAGCAGTCTGTCAGTCACCCGTTGCTCTGTCTACACCTTATCCAGCAGGGATCTCTGGCAGTAGAGGAGGCGTCGAGGCGTGCCGTACTTCCTAAAGAACAAAATTGCTCCCAGAGTGACCACAACCAGCACCAGCAGGAGGAGAGGGATCACCACGGCCAGCGGCCCGGCCCCGCTCTCTGAAGGCTCGATGAAGACCTCTTTCCGACCCTTCTTGGGCTCCTCGCTTTCGCAGCCCATCCAGTCGCTGAGCACCGACTTGGGATAGCCGGACTCCACCTTCATGTACTGGTTGTTGAACTTCCAGTACTTGTTGGCTTTGTAGAAGTAAGTGTAAGCTATGATAGGAAAGATGGAGGGAGCAGAAGTTAGGAGCTTAGACGGCTATTTTTAGGACAAGAGCTGCTATAAATGTCAACAATAGAGATGCCAACTTGTTTTTTTTGATTAGTCAGGTCATCTTTTGATCTGAGGAATATCACAAAATAGTTAAAATGTTCCCTACAACTTCCTAATTCCCCTTTTTTTGTGTGTAAGACTGCAGTTTACTATCACTTCAGACAAAAAGCAGCACATTTTTGCTATGATCATTCACTCATTTCATGTCCATCGATTATTCAATAATTGAATAATGTTTTTTTGCTCAAGAATTGGACTTTACACTCTCAGTTTAATGGACAGAAAAACTTACATCCATCTTCACTCATGATGGCAGCTTTAATGTTGTCTGGTGCGCCGCTCCACTTGCTGATGGGCTTCGGGTAATCGCTGTCCACTCTGCGAGCCTGCTCGTTGAAACGGTAGTAACTGCAAACAGAAATATTAAAGACGTGAAGGACGTTACTTCCTGAAAGAAACAGCTTTGGCCGATTAATTCTAGCAACAGAGGCAGAACTAAGGACACAGGGAGTACGTGGGTATTAACGTCATGTCACACGGCCCCCAGATTCCAGATGTGTCCTGACTTGTAAAGTGATGCTACGTCGAGGGTTTGGTCTATGGGTTTGTGATTGTAACAAACACAACATGCACAGTTTGTTGCACCTCGCTGCATATCATCCCTCATCTCACTCCTCTCAGTTTTTGTTATAATCTTCTATAAAGTCTTGGTAAATGCATAAAAAAATAAAAAATACAGTGAAAACGAAAGCCAATTCTGCTATTTGGAATAGAATCAAATCTTGGGTCTACTTGCAACTGATTGTAAGTAAGTTGAGCAGAACAGAGTGGGAGTAAAAGATTAGAAATGTGGAACGCTACTTTCATCAAGTTTGGAGATAAGCTTGGTAAAAGTATGAATGCTGTGTTTGGAAAAAACGATTTTATCTGTGCATGAATGCAGCAGGAATTTTTTGATGCCTCACAGAGAAACTCTTTCCAAAGGATGTAAAAAACACAAAAGGGGAAAATGAGAGGGAATTTTCTTCTTAACCTATCTACGTCTCTTCCAGAAATACAACAAAAGAGTTGTTTTGTACGATGTCAATAGTGCAAAATTGCCCAAACAGATCAGGTTGTTCTAAGACAAGAGCTGTAGATCTTGTTGAGAGGACGGACTCACTCAGAGCCTCTGAAGAAGAACGTCTGTCCTGTTGGTGTGTAGAAGAGAGCAGCATCGATCTTGTCTTTGGGCAGACCGGTTCCCAGTTCTCTCAGGGTCTTTGGAGAATCCTTGTCCATGGTGGACTCACTGAAAACCCAGTACTTGTCACCTGGAGACGCAGATGGAAACAGAAAGCTCAGAGGAGGATGTGAAATTCATCCCACAGCAGCTGCACTGATGCAATTATTTCAAATCTGCTTTCTGTCTAACACCAGATGGGACCTACCCTTGAAGAAGACAAATTTCCCATCATCCCTCTCGTAGGCGGCGTTGATGTTTGAAGGCAGGCCTCTCCAGAAGTGACCAATGGGCATCGGGTAGCCAGGCAGCACCTTGTTGTTACGCACACGCCAGAACCACTTGTCCTGCAATCACACATGGACATAGACAGTAGTAAGTACACAACACTGTATTCAAAGAAAGCATTTTTAAACTTGATTTGTCTGAAATAATGCACATTGGTGCTTAAACAACGAGATTTTTGATTGATTAACTGCCTGTCACACAACACATTTCCAGAAACCTTGCTAATCTAAGAAAAAAGCCAAATATTCCCAGATTTCAGCCGATCAAAGATGAAAATTTGCTTCCTTGTGTTATATGTTTTAGATTTAAATGAATAAATGTCAGCTGCTGAACAATCGGATGTTTCAGATGAAAGCTCTTCTGTACCTTAAACACAAACTTCTCCCCTCTGAGGATAGCGATGGTGTCAAAGTGTCCCTCGCAGATGTCGGGCCCGTGGTCCGGCTTGCTGGGGTTGGATGCCTTCGTGGGACGGGGGGGAGGAGGGGGAGCCCCAGACTTTGTTCCTGTGGTTGAAGAGAGAGAGAGAGAGAGAGAGAGAAGGGAAAAATGGTGAGTTGGCAGGAAGACCACAGAACATGCTTAAAATTCCACTTGCTCGTCTTTTTACTCTGCTGTTCATTTGAACGCACTCAGATCTTTTATTGCACTCTGGTTTAGAAGCGCCCATACACTTCAGACGCTTTATGTTTATGCGTTGAGCCATTTACAGGCCATTTGTCTGATTTTAATACCCGTGTCCTGAAGAATGAATGTTACAGCTGCTTTTTTTTTTACAGCTGAAATTACAAATAAAGGCTTAACTCATTCTTAAAATCAAACGAAAGTTGAAACTATGGTCACACATGTGGTCTGTAACGCTGTCCTCCTCCATGTAAATTGAAAGTTGACTATTTTAGATTGTTTGGACATTAGATTTTTCGAGACGTTGGACTGCCACATTGCTTTTTATCTGTTTGCACTGTTGTGTGTCGTGTTTCAATCATTTTAACAACAGTCTCTCCATTACACTCCATTTCTTCTAGTAAAACGACCCACCATAGATTGCCTGGATGCCTCTGCGGTCGTCATCGGGGAGCTGGAAGTTCTCGGTGTCGAACCACTGGTAGAAGGGAGCCATGATGGCGGAGGGGTCATTGGAGTGTTCCAGACCCAGAGCGTGACCCAACTCATGGACAGCTACCAGGAAAACATCATTACCTTCAGAGAGAAAAAAAAAAAGAAAGGATACAAATGAGGAGTGAAATTAAGCCTGCAAACCAAAGTCTAGACACATCCTGGAGGTAACAATTATAGGATTTTAAAACAGCTGCAATACACGATGATTGTCTTCTCTCCACTCATCCTCTGTTCAAACCTTCTTCCTCTTACCTCCCTGATCCACGTTCCCGGTGGTCCAGGGTTCTGCGAGGTCGAAGTGCGTGTCTCCTCCGATGCCGTTACCGGGGAAGTAAGCGTGAGCCAGGAAGCCGCCCTCGCCGTCGAACGGCGTGCTGTCGCCGTGGAATCCTTCTGAGAAGGACAGCATGATGTCGGCGTACTTGTCGACCTTCCCTCTGATGTGGCTGAAGGGAATCTCTCTGAAGGTGAGTGGGATGACGCTCTCCCACACTTTGAAGGCCCTTCTGATGGCGTCAAACGTGGCTCGTTCGCCTACTTTGGGGGTGTAGTTCTCTATGCTGTGGTGGGAACGAAGAGACAGGGATGTAGAGGAGGGTGGACACAAAACAAAGGGAGGTTAAGCAAGTAAAGATTACTGCTTCAACAAAATCCTTGAAGATCCTCAAATTCCATTAAAGTGTGTCCAAATAAATCAAATTCCACCAAACTGTTGAACCGGGTCGTGTACTGAGTGTGTATTCTGACCTGAAGGTCACCTCAGACTTGTCCCACTTCAGTCCTTGCACAGCGTATCTCTTCCTCCTCAGGTTGGTTTTCAGCTCCGGGCCGAACTTGTCAGCAACGCCGCACCGCGGTCGTCTCATGGCCCTGACGACAGCAAAACAATATTCTACGTTTACAACTATGCAAAACACTCAGACTGCTCTCAAGGACGCATTTTTGTTCTAAGCAGTAACCTTGCTTTCTTAGATTGTCTTAGCTCCACATACAACCCTTGAATTCATAAATGTATCAGAGCTTCAGTATTGACCAGGAACAGCTTGAAACCAAGCAGCTACATGTGAATAAGTGTTCGATCAGGACTCACTCTAACGTGTTGGTGTCTATGGAGCCGGTGACAGTCAATCCATAAAACCTCTGCATGGCTGATATCGCTGTTTCGATGGACTTGGGGGAGCGGATGGCCTGGGCTCTGACATCTCCTGGAGGCAGGTAGCCATACTGCTGCAACCAAGCCTGAGGAGAGGGAGAGAAAAGGATAATTATGTCAATTTGTTTAGATGTTGATGAAGACTTTCGCTTTTTTGTTGGCCTAAGCTAACAGGTAGCTCCACTGAAGGCGACACGACAAGACAACGACCACTTTACGCACAGCTTGATGCAGCTTCCTGTGTCATTCAACAGAGGGAACACCTTGTAAATTAGTGCTAAATTAAATCGATTGATGTTAGTTGGAGTTTTGCACAGTTAATGAGCTGTTTATCCCCAAATCCTTCCAGACAACTGGCTGCATGCACATGAAGCAAAAGCAAATGCAAAAGATTTCTACTGAGCTCACACTTTTCAAATAACAAATTTCATTATACAGATCATTAAAACAAACATTTATGCATTTATTTGAAGTATATTTTCAAAATCGATGTGCACTACACATAAAAATACATATTGTTTCTCTTATAGCGACATACAATCTCAAAAGAAAAGCAGGTTTGTTTGAACAGGTCCCTAAACTGAGGCACACAAGCTGAAACTTGTGCACAAAAAATAAATATATAGGATCCTATTGTACGTATAATGACTCTTTTTCAGAAAATATTCATTGTCTATGAAACGAACACATACTTTTACAGATTTTTGCCTCAACTGAAATATGATTTGTCTGCTTAAAAGGAACGCTGGATGTTTTGCTCATTTGTTAACAAACTACTTAAAATGGTTCAATGTTTTGATTGTTGAGTCACAGAATTTAAAAAAACATTTTTTTTTACATTTTATAGATGCAACAAAACCTGAAAAATAAGGAACATGCAGACAATAAAACAGATAGGACAGGCAGATTATTATTTTTACAATAAAAGAGGTGAGCACACTGTGTTGGTATGAGGCTACATGTATACATAGCATATATAATATATAAAACAGCTCACATTTTTGAGTGAAATTTAATTTATCTGCTAAAGTACATTACTATTTATCCAAAATGAAGCTCTTGTTTTTGCTGTGGTGTCCTATAAGAGTGGTGGCAACACTTCATGACTATTTGCATGTTTTGCTTTGTGAGGTTTTTAGTCCCTTTCAGTCGGTCACGCCAGAAGCAACACAAAAACCCCCCGAACGCATCACAAACATCTTAGTCAACAGAAAAGAAGGGATCGGCCGCTTGTATGAACCTGTGGCTGTTTGTCAGCTTCCAGTCAAACTTTCAGAGCTTGTCTCGACGTGCTTCTCTGAGCTCCGACCTACAGCACTGATTGCACAGCAAACCGGGGAAACAAAAGGTGCATGTGTGTTGTGCATATGTGTGTGTTTTCGTGTGCCGAGCTGACTTGTTACCCCCACGTATACCCTCCTTCTACAGCAGCCAACACATACTGAGCTAACTCAGCGAGCTAAATTTACTGTCTTTTCTTCATGTGACTGTGACATTATCCCGTTTATAAACTCATATAAACTAACACCAAATCCTCAAACGTCCCCGTGATTTATGCCGAACCCGTTATGGGGAACTTTGTTGTGGGGTCATAAGGAAGCTTGAGAGAGGAACCGAAAGCCAAATAAAACACACAATCTGAAAACACTGATGTCATTTTAGTCACGATGACCCAGAACTCTGTCTAGACAATCGCAGCCAAAGACAACTGGCAGTCATGAGGCTGGAAAAAGGAACATTTTCAGCCACATTTGGGTTCCTCAAAGCTTGAGTTTAAGATCTCCCTGCCACTGTCTATGTCTGTCCTCCTCCTCGCTGTCTGTCTGTCCTAATGTCAACCAAAACCACCTCTATTTATCTTTACACATGAAAGGCCAGCCTCTTCTTTCCACTGCTGCTGCTGCTGCTGGTGGTGGTCTCATACTGGACAGACTATTAAAGGAAATGTTTTGAGGAACAGGCCGATCTGCTTTTATTGTTCAGAGGGAGGTGAGAAGATTGGCACCACTTTCACTTCTGCCAGGAGCTTAGCATAAAGACTGGAAACAAAGGGAAACAGTTGGCCTGGCTTTGTTGACAAAAGAGTCTTAATGATTCATTAATGTTAATAATGTTCATTATTTAGCATCTATGCTATGCTAAGCTACCTAGCCATGATGCACCTCGATGGAAACAGCACAACAATGTATGGAAGTAGAGAGACGTCAAAGGTGTGTTTTGTGCAGGATGACACAGTTGCTAAGCCATAAATCATAAAAAAGATGAATACTGTGATTCGTTAATTTCTCCATACTTGTCCCTTATCTGCTCTTTTTAAGCCTGCAGTTAAACCGAAAAGTCCTCAAATTTTTGTCACGAGACTGCCGTGGCTTCACGGTTGCACTCAGGAGTGCACAATTGTAGTGTTTTTACAGAAACTGGTCCATGCAAACTGTTTATTTTTGGACATTTTGAGTTTTTTTATGAGTCATGTCGAATAAAGTGATTTGGATGAAATTTAGATTTGAGCAAGTTTTCCAACAAAAGGTCACAAACGAGTAGTTCAAGGACTGTCGGAAAGTTGAAAGTCTAATGATTCATTCTGTTTTTACACTTTGTGGCTCTGATAGAGGATGTGACTGTGGTGACTGTTCAGAAAGATAACATGCCTTTCAAAAACATGATGGGTTTTAGGGTTCAGAACAGACAAACATTGGAGCAGTATCTATCTTCGCATCTTCTGATCCCTTTTTTGGAGTCGAAGAAGATTAAATGCCTCTTCAAGTGTGTGTGTTTCCAATTACGTCTCGGCACACACAAGAGTTAAGACACATTTTCATCTCCACCACAAATGAAGTCGATGGAATTACCCTGAATTCCTTTATTAGCGTCATCTAAACCTCAGATATCTCTCTTGTTCCACCATATGTGCTGGTTTTCTCTTCAAGCTGGCCTCCAACAAGCGAAGGCCAAAGCATGGGGAGGGATGGAAATATAGCAACAGGGCACACAGGGCCTGTGCACACACGGCCACTGTTAGTCATGTGGTGGGCAGCGAGGCCAGAGAACAAGGTTCACTTATGACGACCTGCAGTGAGGCAACTTATCCCCCTTTTTTTTCCATCTCTGCAAATTTACTCTGACAAGTTCTTCAAGATTTCTCTAGATTATTTAAGATTCTAGTAAATTTAATTGATCTGCTGACTCTCTCTGCGCCAATCTGCCCCTGACACCGACCAAATTTACTTTCTCGGCCTCTCCGCTGACTGCTGCCACTGTGTCCTGTGGCTCCGCTGTGGTGACGCGTCTGCTTCTATAAAAACACTCCCGCGCTCCACTGCATGAAAAGTCTCCCTTCCACCGTCAAGACCTCCACTTCTCTCCCTCTAATCCCAAACTACTCCACACACCACCACCACCACCTCCGGTTGGGACGCCAGGTATCCCAGCATGCACCCCTCCTCCCTGGAACTCCCAGCAGCCACCATCAAAGCTTCTATTTATTGAGACTTGTACATGGCTGGTGTTGTAGGCCTGGGGGGAGCCAGTTAGCTTGCTACACAGCCATGTGTGGTCAAAAGGCTGGCTGCTGGTTGGGTAAACACACCTCTGGCTCTGTGCAGTGACGTGTGGTCTAAATGTATAATGCACAGACACGGAAACACAACCGCTGTAATGTAAAGTCGGAGGAGGAGGTCGCTTCGGTGAAGCTGCGTGATGTATACATGGATTCTGTGACCCTGCTGTGACCTTGCTGTACGATGTAGAGCCGAAACAGTTAAATGCATGAATTTTTGATAATCATTTGATAACTGGTGCCTTTTTTAAGGGAACAGGTAAACAATGAGCTGTTTAAGGTGCTTAAATGATATAATATATAACACATTTTCATATTTCACAAACTGTGACTTCCATTTTTTACTGTTTTTGATATTTTGTAAGTCAAAAAATTGAAAAATCAAGAAATAAATCTACAGGTTAACACTAAAATGAAGCTGCATCTCTATACTTCATAAAGGTTGTGCTATAAAGTTGTTGTTAGGCCGATACATTGCACATTAGAGGTGTACTTAGTGTTTAGTTTCTGGCTTTTTATAAACCAAATGATCAAGTAATAATGAGTGGATTTGTCTTTAACAATAACATTATTTATTGCACTTTTGTGTACTGTGTGTTCATATTTAACTAGATATATTCCAAAGCTGTACTGCATATGATCGCCTGAAATAAAGACTAAAGCTTGACAAAATCTTAGGACACTCTTTAAAACCTACTTCAGCGTGCCTGCATTAACCCACATGAGGCCAAATATGGGTACGAAAGCAGCTTTAAACACAGATCTTTCCCACTTTATGTGCAATGCGTGCTGTTTTTTGTGATATAATAGTACCTGACCTTTTAGATTAATTTGTAACATGCAGGGACAAAACTGACATTTAAGCTCAGGTACATTCCTCAAGACAGAGCCTTGAGCTCAGGTAATACAGCAGACTCTTTTCTTCACTCCAGCCCTTGTCATGTTAGTTGATAATGTGCCCTTATTCTGAGCAAACTGCATGAAATGTTCTTACTTTTTGTCTGTTGTTTGCTTTTTACTTAAACCAGCTACAACCTTGAGCCTTCAGGACTCTTCCGTGACCACGATGATGTGCAGCGTCTGTGTTATGCAGCAACGTACCAGCACCCATCACAGGACATGTGGGTGCCACCTACTGTCACACATTCAAAGGAAATGTCCAAATATGTGTAGCTTTTTCCATCATCCACGTGCAAAAGCAGTTTTAGGTCACTGAAAATTGAACTCCTCCCACGGTGAAGACATTGAGAAACTGCAGAGTTGATGTGTAAACAGGGGAAGCTTCTGTCAGAATATGTCACTTGTTTGTGTCAATGTTGTGCAATGAAGGATGTGACCAACACAGAGCTGGAGCTAAACAGCTAACAGGGCTTTTCTCATGTTCACGCATAACATATACTGAGGAATAACTCCATCTCACTATCAGTTCACAGTTATGATTGCCTCTTTCATCGACGCTCCATTGTTGGGAACTGACCAAAACCCGTAACTGCTTTTTTTTTCTAGGCTTCTGATTGGTCAATGTGGCTTTAGGGTTATGGTTATAATAACCGCCTATTGGCTTGGCATGCTCTTGACAGCGCTTCAATTGCGTTTTCATGTGGACAGCGACTTTTTTTGGAGAACAAAGGAGGTAAAACCACATTTTAACAAATACCCGCGTACGTGTGAGCTATAGGTCTTACTCATATTGTCATGAGACTGAGCTGTTCTCCGGATGCACAATCAAAAAAAAAACAAAAAACATCCAACCACAAGTTCCTACATAGGGTTTTACAGAGAATGAAAAAAAAAATTCCATGTACATTTATAGTTCTTGCGGTCCAAAACAAAAGGATGAAGGCATTTTAATGGGAAGAGAAACTGTCATTGCGTTAGAAAACTCGTCATGCAGCTGTTTGTATCTATTTAGGCAATACACACGAAAAGAAACGAGGAAGAAGGACAAGAACACGTGCACAGAGCTGAGTTTGGGTTATTTAACCACTTATGCACACAGTAGTGCTAAACTGTCTGTGTAACAATGCCAAAGTCCATCTTTTTGTGTCTAGGAATACTGTCGAAACACTAAAAAGCTGCCTCTTGGAAGCCTGCACAGATTTTTTGTTATGAAGCGAGTTGAACGCTATAGTTTCCTGTCTTCTCACCAGGAATGAGGGAAGAAAAAGCTCAGACAAGAGCTTCAAGGACTGCAGAAGATGATCTAAAGCGCAGAGCTACATTAGAGAGGGAGAAGGTAAAAACATTAGAAGGACGAGCGGGCACACACAGAGAGAGAGAGGGAGAGAGAGAGAGAGAGGGGTTCGGAGTATGGCTGAATTTAAATTTGAGGGACTGACTCAGTTGTTCCTCTCGCTCTGTGCCAACGGAAAAAAACAGAAAATTTCTGCTCATGAGTGGCTGAATCTCACGTTGCCTTCATTTCTTGGCGTCTCTGACCCAGTTAGCGCTCCCACCAGCTTCATGCAACATTTTTTTTTGTCTGCTTTTCCATTTCTTCTGGGTCAAGCAGGTCAAATAATGAGACCGCTGGATGGTTTTATTGTGCCCACAGTGAAACATCGTTATGCTGATGCCTGACTCACGATAAACAGCTGTACAATTCCACACAGGTAACTACTGGTGTCATGCTACCAAGTACATTTACTCAAGTACAGCTTTTAAGCAGAGTTTCTACTTGAGTTTTACCATTTAATGCTATTTTATAATTCTCCTCAACCACGTTTCAGAGGGAATATTTTGCACTTTTAACTCTCATGCCTTTGACAGCTACACGTTGGGGAGCATCACTGGGAGGTGCGTTATTATAGCATAAACGCCCCTACAGTGTTTACAAATTGGCATTAAAAAGATGGTGTGCCCCTTTTTTAACAAGGTATATTTAAGCTTTACTAACACTTATTACTGTTGGAGCAATTTTTATGTTGCCAAGATGTAAAAATACGGTTTGGCTGCTTTATTAAAGACCCGTTTCACAGAATGAGCGCTTTTGCTTTTGACTCTTAAATGCAATTCGCTTATAAAACTTATGTCCCGTTGCTTACTTAAGTGTTTAAATGCAGGACTTTACCTGCAAAGGAGCATATTTACACTTTAGCAAATCTTCTTCTTTCCAACTAAACTATTTGACACTAATTTCTGATCCATATTCTTCGGATCAAAAAAGAAAATTGATGCATTTTATAAGCTACAGCAATAGTTTCTTTTGTATGTACAGTTTCAGTATATATTTCAAATAGTTGAGGTTTATTCTTTATTTTTATGGATTAAAACTGATACTGGATTATTGAAAAAACTGTGCTTAAGTATGGTTCTTGTCTAGTTTTTAGGAGGCGTTCCAAATCTGTAAGCTGGATTTAGGTTCAGCACATCTGGCCTTCGACTTCCAAATTCCACCAGCTCAGGACCTGAGATAGAAACTCATTTTGATCCAAACTGTGGTAAACGGCCCCTCTTTTAGGTCCAAACGTGCCATTCTACACTCAGAAACATCACAGTAGAAGCTTCTTCTCTTTGATGTCCTCCATTATACCAAGGTGGACCATTTTCTTCGAGCAAAGACAGGCCTCTCTTGAAGTCCATCAGTTTCTCATTAAGGCTGATCCAGCTGATTATTTTGACATTTCTTAAGTGACAGCCGCTGCCTGTCAGAGCAGCGTGCACCAGATCTGGAGCAAGGCTTTTCTTTGATGCTACATCAACAGCGACTGTAGTCGAGATAAAAGGAATTGAACCCAGATGTGTTTTGACCAGATCTGTAACCCGCCGGCTGGGATCATGAGACATGTGTCTCCAGATGGCAACGGGAAATCTCCGGAATTTTTTTTTTTTCTTCGCCAGATATGGACAGATCCTGTTTTAGAACCTGTTGTTTTCATTGCTGCCCACTTCCTTTGCTCACAGGACCCAACTAAGCATTTTATTCCAGTCAAGAAAGGTTAGACAAGGCAAAAAAAGGTGAATGAAAACAGATGCCGGAGGGCGCAAAGGTGCTCGACTTCAGCAGAAGTGGTTTCATTCTCTGGGAATCGTGGAAATCCTATTTCTCTCTTGGTGTGGCTTCTCTTTTCACTCAGCAGAGATTAAGTGGGTTTAGTTTGAGTGAAGTCAAGTTGAGCAACACTGATAAACCACAAGATTCCTCTAACTTGAGCTATGCTTTCTTGACCCTCCCAACCTCCTAGAAGCAGCTTCAACCACTTCAATTACACATTTATGTCACTCAGTTGTTATTTTGTCTTTGCTCCTACTATCTATCTTTCCAGTTCCCGTTTAGTCTACTTTCTCCGTACACAGACAAGTCTATCTTTTGATCACAGGTTTCATATAGAGCTCCTAAGTGATGTAATCCTGAACCCATAATTAAAGCTTATCCTCCTTTTGCATCAGAATGTCGCGTCTGATGGCATCACAGGAGGATCAAACTGTGTACCTGCATCAGAAGACGACAGTCACTTTTTATCTGATGTGTCTGAGATCAAATCCTGCACCGAGGGTTATCATCACCGTGGCACTGAACTGATATGTTGCTGCGGTAATGTTAGATATTATCCTACAGCTGGTACGGATGACACTGTCGTACACACTCCTGTTTTCTCACTGTGTTTACAGACATTCATCACGGTGTTGGTGTGTTCGCCACAGGAGGGCAGCCGCCTGCGGCCTCTTATAAACTGTCTGACTCCGTGAGTTATCCACCTTGTCTGGCTTGACTCACACGCCAGCGACTTGTGGTCAGTGACTAAGGTCCTCCTTCGCTCTTTCGTGCATCCTGTGTCCACCCAGACTCTTGTAAACTGAAATTAACGTGGCTTTTTTGCTCAACACCTGGAGCTAAATGGACTTTTTGGTCGGTGAATCAAATTCCTGTGACATCTCAGTATTAGTGGTGCATCCTGTCTTTTACAGAGAAGCAGTTTGTCTGAATGTGACTTTACTTCTTTGAGCCTCCGTGTACTGGTGACCACTTGTTGTTATTGATGTTATTGTGCTTTAGGGAGGATGGGTCACCATCTTTAGAGGAAATCTAAAACGGGGCCAAGACCGGAGGCGCCCAGGATGCTTGTACCCAGTCATTTACAAAGCTGCACCAGACCTGATGACAGAATAAGTTGTTTAGACGACAGCTATAATGCCTTAAGTGTCTCCTGGGCTGCATTTTACATCCTGAGGCCTAAAGTCTCCCACACGCAGCGCCTCATGTCCAGCTTGTTGTGAAGGCAGACCAGCTTCCTGGCCTAATGTCTACGCAGTCTGCACAGGCAGATGAAAACCATTAGCCCCCCTCCCCCTTTAGCACCACCACTACACCCCCCTTTTTCTCAGAACAAAGCAGCTCAGCTGAGGCTTCTAAACTGTGTGCTGATCCTGCATGGCTAGATCTGCCTCTCTTTCTTCTGAAGCCACTAAAAGTTCATCTGGATGAAAAAATCAAGGTCAAAAACTTCCCAGAGTGAAATGACAGTCTGAGGAGAGGCTCTAAAGACAAAGGGAGCTCTCTTGAAGCTTTCACAGCAAACAATAACTCCTAAACTTCAGAGATTGCCACAAATCAGTGAAACTAAAGATCAATGCAGTTATTCTTTGTATCTGGGAAACCACGCTCAGAAAAAGGGGGGATTCACTTTGTTTACACACTTCAGCTCCTATAGCACACATAAACTCTGCACAGATTCCAGTGTATATGAACATGCATTGCTTAAAGTAAATGTACCTCTGTTTTCCATGTCACTTACCTCGGCTTTTAGGACATCTGCAGAGACGGAGGTAAACCCAAAGCAGCAGGCCAGAGTGAGGAGCTGGAGCAGCATTCTGCGATCTGCAAACTACTCCCCCAAAAAAGTTCTGAACTCTAACTCTCTACACGAATCCGTCCCGACAGCAAACAAACAGCAGGGAAGAAAAAAAGAAACACCCACAAAATCGACCGATGCTACTCCGTCGTGTGTTTCAAACGTGGCAGAAGTCTCCACATGGACACTTTCAGAGCGCAGCAAACAGCTTCTGGTGCGCAAAGGCGACTCCACTGGAGTCAGAGCTGGACGCGCAAAAAACTGAAAACATAAGGTAACTGCGACAAATGCTCAGCTGTTGGAGACTAAAGCTTCATAGTTTGGCTTCCTTTGCTTTGGTAGGATTGTCTGTAGCGTGTGGACGTGTAGAGAGAGAGGGAGAGAGAGAGAGGGAGAGAGAAAGGGGGGAGAGATGGATTTTCCTGAAGGTCCTCCTCCAGATGTGCAGACGTCACTTTTTTCATGGTAGCGTGATGACATCTGACTGGTTTATCAATAACCAGCACGGATTCTTACTCGTGAAATGCCAAAGTATAATTTACTTAAACTATCATAGGACAAAGTTCTCCTGAAAAAGGCCCAGTTCACAGTTACATTCATATTATTCACATATTACAATATTATCAGTGACGCATGAACTCCTAAAATGCATTTTGTTGTTGGACCAGTGGTGCTGATTTCAGCAGTTTATCATCTTATGGTTTTACTTCATCACTGCATCATATTTCATAAACTAATCATATGCTTTATTTGCAAAATCTAAATCTGAGAAGTGCTGCAACTCAAAGATAGAGTGAATTTGAAAGTGCACCAGAATACAAGTATAACAAATACATGACCTGTGATGGGATTTGGTACAAAAACAGACCATTCATGCATTTTGAGACACGTGTTCTTTTACTGTAAGTTAGAACAGCAGTGCATTGGCACAACACAGAATAAAAAGTTAAAAGCACTGCGTTTAGAATACTTGACTTAAAAGTTTTAGAAACGTTTGCCATTTGTACTTAATAAGATGTTTGTAACAACAAGAGGTACTTGTTGCATCAGGAATTATATCTGAAACATGTAATCAATAAATAAGATATGAATAATTGCTGGAGATTAAACTGCACAGCTATGCAAAAGTAGATTACCTTGATGAATTATAACATTTAAGTTCTGGCTACGCGTTACTGCATCAGCTGGGGTGCAACTAACTTCATTGGTTGGCTATTTTGTCAATTTATCTATTAGCTGTTTGGTCTGTAAAATGTCAGAAAATAGTGAAAACTGTTCCCAAAACCTAAGATAGCATCCTCTTGTGTTGGCCACAACGCAAACAGATTTAGTTTACTTTCATAGACTAACCAGAAGTAACCAGAAATCAAATGTAAGAAGCTGGAATCAAAGAATTTTGACTGTTTTTCTTGAACTGATTACTCAAATCAACAATTTAATAGTTGACAAGCAATCAGTTAATCAACTAATTGTTGCAGCTCTATGCATCAGTAGATCTGAAACAGTAACATGCAGTATAATAGTGTGACTGACAAGAGCCATTGTGCTGCATAATGAGTATTTTTGGTTGATTCTGTACTTCTACCTAAATAAAAAAAATAAATGCATGACCTTTGTGGCATTTTTAAACTGTAGCGTTGCTACTTTTACCTGAAGTCTGTATGCCACTGTTCTTGGTCATTGTTATTTCACTTGGAAGTTTGATCTTCACAAGTTTGACTCATTTATCTGCTGAATGAGGACGTTTCTTTATTTACTTTAATACATGCACATATAAGTATGAGTTGTGACATCACAAATAATCTGGAGTCCAGTCATATGCCAGGAAGAGATGGAGACGAGTGTGAACTCCTCCACCTTCCAGACACAGATTTAACAGTGAAGAAGAAAGCATCTTGGGCTCAGGAACTAACCTTCTAAATTGAGAAACATAGACTGTTAGGAAAGCGGGAGATGCAAAAGTCTGAAACTGTATGGAATAAAAAGTGTTTTATTCTGAAATGCAGAGGAGCTGATGTGTTGTTAAAGGGAGACAGGTACACAACAACTTCCTCAAAATTTTATTTGAGTGCAGAACGTACTTAATTACTTCCCCCTACTGAAGCAGAATAATGTCATATGTCTTCAATTATATCTAGAATTGATGAATGAAGGATCAGAATGTTTTTTTCTCCACTACTGGAATCCAGATACAGAAGCATAAAGTGGAATACAATTTCAGTAAACATACCTAAAATACATAAGTACAACACTTGAACAAATGCACTTAGTTCCTTTTGTTTTGTAGTCGTTTCCATTTTTTATGAATCAAATCTGCTGCTGGATGTTTGAGCCAACCGGCACTGACACCTTGTGTTAAAAAACGAACATTTCACATTTTAGACTCCGTCAAACCAGCTGCTGTTGCTTCTATAAATTGGTGAATGTACAGTATTTTTTTTTATTAAGTTGGGGTTTTAATATAAAGCTCTTATTCAGAAAACGATGAGTAGATCTTTATGAATGGAATAAAAGCAGTTTGAGGGTGCGCACCACAAGCCCCGCCCCCTCCTGTCATGAGCTGGAACACACGGAAGTAGCTCAGAACTTGTCAACAAGAAAGGCCGACTGACATGGTAACGTACTCGTGTCCTGTCCTTTTTCTGATTTTATAGTGTTGTTGCCGCTTTTGTCCAACATGTTGTAATTTCTCTGGCTATTTAAAACGTCCGTGTCGTACTCGGAAGCCTTTTCTCGCCGTGTCGCGGCCTACAAAAGGCGACGAGAGAAGTCAGGATGTTAGCGGTTAGCAGTTAGCTCGCCTCAGAGCTATCTGTTAAAGCTCTTGTGACTAAAGAAGGCGAGCAGCTGCTCCCTCCTGCTGCTTCAAACCGAAACAGACTATTTCCTTGTCGCAGGACGTTATATAATCATATGGGGCAACACGTACGGTATTAATCGATCAAAAGTCGTAATCCTGATGGTTTCACTTCACTGGAAATAAGAGAAAGACTTCGGAACTGTTTGGCGAGGATTTGTTCTCGGAAATGGTCGCGTTCCTGTCGTCATTGTTGAGAAGATTACAGGAAGGAAATCTCCGTGGATATGTGTAAACAACGATCAAAATAACCTCTACATTCAAAGAGCCTGGCTAAGTACTCCTAGGTATTGTTTTCCTTCCCTAACAGATCACAATAATGAGCGAAAATACAGATGATCTGCTTTACTTTATGGGATGCTGAAAACTTGTTCCTGGTTGTTCTCTATGTCTTAAAACATTTCTAAAATCACCTTTACATTCTACAAACTGATTAAAACCAACTGCACTATAAATTGAGAGTTTACAAAATCGGCTAGGAGGCTTCAGGATGTAATCTATTTGAATTAAGATAGAATAGGGCAATAAATACTGATAGAAATATTATTTTATTGATTAATTGATTAGTTCTTTGGTCTCTAAAATGTCAGAAATTAAGAATAAATGCTGATCAGTGTTTCCCAAACCTCAAGATGATGTCCTTGAATATTTTGTCTGATCTACAACCTAAAACTTTGACTTTATTTCTTATAAAACTACTCAAGCTGATCGATCCATTATCAACTTAGCTGACGATCAATTTAATAGCTGACAACTAATTGATTAATTAACTGTTGCAGCTCCAGATGGCTGAAAAATGGCATCATGCTTCCAAGACAGCTATTTTAATTGAGATTAGCAACGTTAAACTAATAGTTTTTTAGTTGTTGATTATTTAGCAGATTATTTTCCAATCATTTTCTCATTAAATGAAACAGAATTAAAGTGAAAGATGCCCAGCACAGGTTTATACAGTTGGCGCTGAGCTTTTGAAATTGCATTTTTTCCAACTGACTGGTAAAAAAACCCAAAATATTTAGAATTTAGCATCATTAGCAAATACTGACGTTCAGGGAGGTGCAACCAGCGAATTGCTTTTTGATTTCTGCTTTAAAAAATACAAAAATAAACACGTAATTAGAAATGTAATTGCCTGTAAGTTGACTAGTCAGTCACACAGCTAACTATGTCAGATCTAGTAGAGGCATAGTCACTGGGATTTTGTTTGTAGAAATAATCATCCATCCATCCATCATCTATAAACTGCTTAATCCTCACTTGGGTCATGGGGGGCTGGAGTCTATCCCAGCTGACTCAGGGTGAAGGCAGGGGACACCCTGGACAGGTCGCCAGCCTTAGAAACAACTATCATAATGTGATTTATGTATAAAAAACATTATGGAAGGCAGGTTTATTTGTATATCACAGTTCGTACCCGAGGCAATTCAAAGTGCTTCACTCAAAACTATAAGACAGATAAAGTCAACCCACAAATCATAAACACAATCGTTAATTAATTACATTGAAAGCAAAGAGGCAGATAAAATCAATCCATAAAAACATAAATATAATCATCAATTAGAAGAGCACAAATAAAATACTTTCAGCTGTCATATGCACAATTAAATAGAAAAAAGTGGTGAGTGTGAGACAAATGTTTTGATGCACATGTTGCGCTTTTTTAAAATGTGTTGGTCAGTCGAGTTTTCATATGAATGTTATTGGGTGTTATGAGGGCTGATTGGGGTTGAACCAAAAGCCAAACCTAACACTCAATCTTCCTTCTCTTTTTTCATTCTGCAGGCAAAGTCTTCCTGATCACAACCTCCGAACATGGCGCTCTGACATTTCTTACTTTTTTCCCCTCCCCTTCTAAGTCTTAAGTTTTTTTTTTTTTTTTTTAATATATAATTTAAGATATTTTATTGGAGCAGCATTACCACAATGACAGTCAGTTGCAGCCTCTGTGCCCTCCTAGTTGTCTCCGTAATAGGTGAGTGAATGAGACCACTTGGCTGTTATGTGTCCATCTAAGGTGCCTGTTTATCAACCAAAGGTCATATTTGCAGTTTTCACGTCATACAACATTTACAGCCTCTGTCAGTGGCGATTATAAAACACCTGTTTGACTGGTTTGGTTTTTGCTTATTTCATCTGCAGCATGCAGCCGTTTTGCTCCTGCCCTCTGCTCTGGTAAGGAGACAAACTAGTCAGCATTATCTCATGTTATGTCTGTGGTGGAAGGATTTTTCAGGACGTAATCATATTTTTGTTGCACACATTTCTCAAACTGGCAGTCTATCATCAGTGATAATGACAATAAATGTTGCATGACGTTTTTCTCATGAATCACATTTTTACGCCACATCGCTGCTCTTTTTCAAACGCGGCGGAGCAACACAAATCTGTGCTGTAGTGAAAGTTAGATTTAAACTACATTTGTTTGGCTGCTAACATTTTATTTCTATTTGACTATTAACACTTGAAAGCTTCAAATATAGGAAGCATTTTTATTTTTTCATAGTTTCTCCTTTGTCTTTTTGTTTCTCAGCCCGCTGTGGGCATTCCCTTCAGGTCTTAGACAATAAAGTGGGAGAGATCAGGAGTTCAGCTTACCACAGCTGGTCCTACCACTTTGGCCCAACCAATGACTGCTGGATCATCAAGGGTTTGGAAGGGGAGCCCATCATCCTCAGGTACATGTGCTGACAACATTGAAAATGCCAGATAAACAAGACATTTCTTTCAAGGAATTAAGTAATTTACCTCCAGCTATTTGCAAATCAGATAACTGGGGATAATCACAGATTCAACTGAACTGAATACCGGGTGAATATTTGTAGACAATTTGTAGAACAAATTGCCCAAAAGTGGGCGATATTGATAGCATCTTCAGTCATGGTATTTAATGTAATATTTGGGTTCTGAGCAGTGGCGGCTGGTCAATACGGGGCGCAGGACCGCCGCCCCACTACTAATGACCAGATAAAAAGTAGTTCTCAAACACAATATTAAATTTGAATTAATTATAACAAAATAATAATACAATTAATAATAATAATGTTCATATTCTTTTGCCAAATTAAAAATATTTGTACTATTAACAGATTTAATATTAGTCTTCACTGCGTGTTTACTAATTCTACACGTCCTGGATGCGGGACGCCAGCCACAGGAGTGTGTATGTAGCTCGAGAAATTTTTCGTGATCACGTGACCTTGGCTCGGGCTCTGATTGGCAGCTTCAGATTTTCTCACGGGGCGCAGCTCGGTGCGTCCCGGACCCATCCACTTTTGCTGTAAGCCAATTAATTTAGTCTTTATTTGCTTTTGTTTGCTGTGGTTGGACATCAAAATTGTCCTTCGACGTTCTTATGACTGTGCTTTCTGATGCCGTCACACGGCCTTTCCCCTCCTCTGCTACTAGATGACAGCAACTGTCGTGATGGAACTCGGTTTAACCTCAGACATATTTTACATCAGAATGTCCTAGTTTATTATTTTTAAAGTCATTTTTGGTCACACACCTGTCAGAGCACACCACATCCACCAACAGCAGCTACCACAGCCTGCTATGTGGGGCGTTCAGGGAGCATCAATAAATCGTCGTGTCTGTCGATAAGAACATGTTCAGCAAGTCATATGTTTTGCCTTTGATCAGGTGGGAGGTGCAACAAAATGAGAAAGTGGGTCGTTCTGGTGCTACCAGTGAAAGAGTTGATCTGGAGCCCTGAATAGTGTTTTTTTCATTATTTATGTTGTGTGTTTAGAGTTTGTACAGATCCTGTAAATGCTGATGAACATTTGATGAATGGTTTTGAAATTTAGTTCTGGTCAGTCTTAATAATGTTAAATTAGATTATGATTAGAATATCCTCCAAAGGTAGACAGTTTGCATTCCTGTAAATAGTTGTGCCTGATGTTACTTATATTCTAATTTCTGATTTAAAATAAAAGGTAATTTGCAGACTTCACCAGCAACAACTGTTTGTGAATACATTATCAGTTTACAGCTTATCCAGCAAATTAAATACTAGATGCAAACTTTATTACGTTTATGGTTGAAGATGTGACCGAATGTCTCTGTTTTTTCGAAGTGAAGTTGTCTTTTCACTGACATGCCTGTTTTCTTCTCACAATTCCCTTCTCAGCTTCTCTCAGTTTTCGGCACGGTGTAGGAAGGAATGGGTGTCTATAAAATCATCAGCTGGAGGCGAGCCAGTTGTCCTGTGTGGGTCCAAGTTGCCACAGCCCTTGGAATTTCCAGGGGGAAATATTACAGTGATGCACCACTTCCTCCCTCATCTGTACCCGGTGTCATCATTTCGGTTGAGCTACGCCAGAGGTGTGACATCTAATTTTTTGTGTGAATTTTAGTTGCAACATGTAGTTCTTCCTGTTAAAAGATCATCTAAATGGTCCTCTTTTTTTTTTTCCCCTCCTGTTTTTACACATCCAGACTCGGGTGAATGCCCAGAGACATCTTTTGAATGCCTCGGGGGTCGGTGCCTCCCACTGTCCTGGCGCTGTAATGGGCAGGTGGAGTGTCTTGGCGAAGGCAATGACCTGGGCACTGATGAACAGGACTGTGATGCAGAATTAGACAACGACAAACCCCCAAAGTATGACAACATGCAGGAAAAGGATGCTAAAACGGAGGCATATACAGAGAGGAACCGTGATGGGGACCCAGAAAGACGTCAGGTTGAATCGCCTGAGCAGTACTCGGATCTCTGGTCGCTGGAGAAGGAGCATACCCAGCTGGACCGAGAACAGTTTCAGACTCATAAGGAGCTTGTAGTGACACCCACTCCCATTGAGTGGCCTTGTGGAGGGCTTCTTCAGACCTTTTATGGGACCTTCTCCCCTCCAACATCTCCGAGTTCCCTTTCCTGTGTCTGGACTCTAGATCCTCAGGACTCCAGGCCGCTGAGACTGGACCTGCGGCAGCTGGTTCTGGGGTCTGGGGATAAACTCACTGTCTACAACAGAGAGCAAGGCAAAGGAGACATTATTAAAATTGTGAGTTTACTCAACTGAGAATCAAAGCAATTAATGCAGCCCACAAAGCTTTCACTCATTAACAAAAAAGGTCATTAAAACATAACACAATGTTCTCTTTTTTGCAATTTGACAGATCACCAGCACCTCGAATTACAAATTAGTCCAAGTTGAATCTCATACTGGCCTGCTGTCGTTGAGGTATGAGAAAATTTCTGACTCAACGGGGATTGGTTTTAACGCCACATTCCATGTTGGGAGCTACTGCCCTCCGTGGGAAGGTCGGTGTGGGGGAGCAGCTGGAGGTTGCTTCACCCAGGAGCAACGCTGCGATGGGAAATGGGACTGTCCTGAAACTGGAAGGGACGAGGAGGGTTGCGGCGGCTGCAGTCCGAACCAGTTTCCCTGCGGACAGAGAGGAATGGGACCCAGCATCCGCAGACCGGTGTGTTACCCAGTGACGGAGAGATGCAACTACCAGCTGAACTGTGCTGATGGCAGCGACGAGAGGGACTGCACTGTGTGTCAGCCGGGGACCTTTCATTGTGACAGTGACAGGTCAGTGTGCATGTTTAACGAAAGGCTTTCTGGCTGAAAGAGAGGACTGAGCCAGGAAGGTTTTCAGTACACTTGAATTTGATTTGAGCTGAAAATGAGTTTTTAATCACAACACATTGCCATGGACCTGTTGGTGATAAAAGTGATTCATCTGAGCACATCTTGGACTTAAAGCTGGTGCTCAGAGTTTATTTTTAATCATGGAAACAGGAAGTCTCTTCAAGGTTGATTTAGTAGTTGTTACTATGCTTCTGTTTTTATACAGATTGTTTTGTCAGATGGTTTCTTTCATAATTACAATCAGATTAGTGACATACCAGGGAGTGGTGTGTCTTATTTATAATGCAAGAGTGTGAGTAAGAGGGTGTGTGCAGGAATGTGGCCAGTATAAGAGATTAAATGCATTTTTTTTGCAGTAATTAGTGATCAGCATGTGTTTTTGTGGGTTCACGGTCATGTTGCATTTTAGTCAGATGTCAGCATATGGGGTGATCATTGATACTGCAACAGACAACAAGTAGAGTGTGAGAAAGTTTTCAAACTTAGATTCTCCATCTATCCACCACTTAAACAATGTAATTATGGTCTATGGCAAGCTTGACAGTGTAAGTTTACCAATGTAAATACGATTTGCATGTATTTTGTGCTCAGACATGCTACTGCTGCATTATTCATCCATAATGCCTTTTATCTCGATCAGTTACGCTGCTATAATATCTCGTCATGGTTCAGAATCTTGTGGTTTTTATTGTTGGTGGTATCACAGAAGGCTCCCCATGCTTTTTCGTTGGGACATTTAATCTCTCACTCACATTGTTGCTGCACTTTCTAGTAACAAATGGCCCTTTGTTCCCTCTGCAGGTGTGTCTTTGAGAGCTGGCGCTGTGACGGTCAGGTGGACTGCAAAGACGGTACAGACGAGCTCAACTGCACCGTCATCCTGCCCCGCAAGGTCATCACCGCGGCAACGGTGGGAAGCCTGGTCTGTGGACTGCTACTGGTCATTGCCATGGGCTGCACATGTAAACTCTACTCTCTCAGGACCAGGGAGTACAGGTGACTGTTATTTCCAGACAGGGCAGAAATGCTTTTTTGTGATTATTTTTGGTTATTTGTTTTGAGCGTAATGGGGCTTTCGGGTGGCTTTTTAAAAGAAGAATGATGCGTCAGCCCCGTTTTATGCTGATGTCAGGAGATGCACACTGTTTTCCGTACTACTAGCTTCAGTTGCTGGCAGACTTCTCAGAGGGTCTGCTCTCATATTCATGCATCTCCCACAACGCTGCCGATACACTCCACTGTCCACTCTTCTAAAAACAGAAACTACCAGGTTGTAAACTCTTAGCTTCACATGTGAAATGTGTTTTATCCAATGGATCATGTTGTGTGTACTCTCATGAAAGCTAAACTCTTCAGCTGTCTTTCCAAGGCACTTCAGTATAAGTGGCCCCCTCAGCTCTCACATTTAAGTGGGAAAGATTAGTGTCCCTGACTGAGTAGCAAAACAACTCTGCTCATGTAAAATAAAGACTGAAGCTACAGTGAGTTGCAGGAGAGCTTGTCGTTTGCATCATTGTGCTGTTGATCAGGCTTCTCTGTTTTTCCTTCGTCTAATATTCTGGTGCTGTTAGAATGAAGTTGGACTCAGCGTATCAGTCGTCTCCCTCTGATTCAGGACGTGAATCTGAAGGGTTCACCTTTTTCTTTTGATGTTCTGTTCTCATAGGGACGTGTGGCATGTTGGATCCTCTTGTGTTGTTGTTGGGTGGTTAGATGAATCAGAAACTATTTGATCTTTTGGGTATTTAGAAACTGGATTGTTAGGTTTTTTGGGGGTTTTTTTTGCAGTTCTGGCTGTATTTCATTCCAATCGCTGAGTTGTGGCACTAGCGCCATCCCTCTGGAAAAGAGGCAGACATGACAACAACCCCTTCACAGCAGCTGTGAAGCCCTGCTGTCTCCTCTGTGACACACACTGCTCCTGCAGCAGGATCTCTGGAGACTTACTGTGTTTTTTCTCGGCCCCTGTTGTCTACTTTGTGACGTACTACTCTCACAGTGTGCTCTCTGGACCCCTGGCTTCTTCTCTGTGATGCCCTGTTCCTGTAGTGTGCAGTCAGGCCCCCTGGCTTCTTCTCTGTGGCACACAACACTTGCCGTTTTCTGTCCACGTCCCTGGTTTCCCCTCTGTGAGGCACTACTCTAGCAGTCTGCTTTCTGGGCCCTTAATGCCTTCTCTGTGACTCTCACTGCTTCTGCATTGGGCTTTCTGGGCCGTGCTGTCTTCTTTTTCTTGTCCTTTTGTTCTTTAGCAAAAAGGGACGCAGTGTTTCCAGGTACTCGATACTCCTCGGCTTCTACTTACTCTCCCTATATAGACAACCTACAAACGATCATTTGCTGTGACTTTTTGGACTGGGTGGACCTGCAGATGGCACGATGGAGCCCATGCTGTGCTTGTGACCTGGTTTTTGACCTGTCGGGGCAAAAAGACCCTCAACCCTGGTCCTTTCTTAGGTGTTGCACCCAGTGTTCAGGTCATGATGAGCATGAACTTGCTAATTAGTTAATCAGACATTCTGTTGATTCTTGGCATTTGTCCCAGCCATCTGCTTCTGTGGTACTTTCACTTCCCCATCTTACCAGTAGAGGTACATTAGATTAAATGTATATACATAATGAACCGTGTATTCTGTAAATCTTATCCTTACTTGTATATATAATTTTGGATTTACAGCATAACCATCATACACTTTCTTGGTTTTCGGTGGATTGTATCTCTTCCTTAGTGCTCATTCAAATCAGTTTTCTTTTTAACCTTCATCTCCTCCTACTGTTGTTCTCTTGGCAGTGTGCTTCCCCTTGAGGTCTTGGATCTCTTGTTGTAGTTAACAGATCGGGTGCTGATGACATGAAGATTAAATAGTTATTAACCAGTTCTGGTTCTGATCGACCTTCTACATTCCCTGTAACAGATTAGCTGTTGTAATGTACAAAGCAGCTCTAGAAGTTCGATATTTGTGTATACTGTCAAGGGCTTCACAACAAATAAACTAAAGGTTCTGGCAGTCATTTGTAACTTTGCAGATTGTGTGTCTAAAAGTGTCTTGTCTTTCTGGCAGCATGTTTGCTCCAATCAGCCGCCAGGAAGCAGAGCTGATCCAGCAGCAGGCTCCTCCTTCTTACGGTCAGCTGATTGCCCGCGGCATCATCCCCCCAGTGGAGGACTTCCCCACAGAAAACCCCAATGAGGTGAGAGAGCAGCTACACAAAGACTTTATCTGCCTGCAAGGGTGCATGACACAGAAATTATTACTAGCATTTGGTCAATAATGATTTTAAATGACAATGATGTGAAACCTGCCAAGCACTACAGTATGCAGCATGTTGGGCATCATTTAGCTAAACGCTTGGCTTTATATTCACCTTTCTAACCAATTATTGCCTCATGTTGATGTCATGGCATATAGTGCTACCTACATGTAAGCTGATTGTCAGTGTGCTCATGCATCTTGCAAGCTTCAACGCTGACAAAAGCTTTCTTACTTTATTTTTAAGTACAACATAAAGCATGCTACTCTGGAAATGTAAGCCCTTCTGTAAGTTGTGCAAATTCCTTCCACCTCCTCTTGAGCCTCAAAGGGCCTTAATAAATTAATTAAACGCTTGGAAACTTAGAGGAGAAAAGCATGACAACCCTCAGGCACTATAAACTGAGTATTGGGCCTGTTTGTTTACATTCACACTGTAGTCTATAGAAGTACCATCTGTCTTTAAGTCATGTGCTCCACTTGAACAGCCTTATTAATCCTGTGGACTGTAGTGGGGAGGAGTGTTCACATTAAAGCTCATGTGGTGTTGCCATGTAGGTTCACTCAAAGGTGTTTTAGTGTAATAAGATCAGGACAGCTGAGGTATTGGAGGCAAAGGGATTAAGTGTATAAAATAAAGCCTGCTCCATCTGCTGTGATCTGGTCAAGCTACGTGCTTGTTTCTCAAGCTTTCATCAGTGTCTTGTGAACACGAAACTTAGCAGGTTCTATCATTTTTATAACCATTATTGGATATCGAGCTATCAACACTATTTTAATCAATGTGTCCTCTCCATGTCTCATTTTAATTTTTGTCAGACCTCGTCTCTTTCTCTGAGGGGAATTCTCCAGCTCCTCCGTCAGGATGCTGTCAACTCCCCACACCGCAGACGCAGGCCCCGATTCGTTCGCCGGGCTGTTCGTCGCATGAGGAGGTGGGGTCTAATCCCCAGACCCCCCTCCAGGCCAACTCAGGCATCAAGCTCCAGCCAGCAACAGTCGGACGCTGCTCCACCTGGTCAGGAACCAGCTCACTCCACGCCCACGAGCTCCTCGTTGGCTGTGGAGGCGGTCAACCAGCCGGTGCCTCAGAAACTCGGTTTGTTGGCTCAGTCAGAGCAGCAGCAGCAGCAACAGCAGCAGCAGCAACAGCAACAGCAGCAGGAGGAAGCATCGGCTCTTTCACTACCCCCATCACTTGTCGCCTCCCCACCTCCCCCTCCGTATGCTCCCCCAGCTCCACCCCTGGCCGCTCCCCACACTCCTCCCGTTGCTGTACCGAGTAGCCCCTCTCTGGCCTCCATCTTCCACACGCTAGGCCTGAGTATCTCCCTCTTTAGAGCCTCACCCTCTTCTTCCTCCACCAACTCCATGCCCCTCTCTGCCTCTCCTTCCTTCTCCTCCTCCTCGTCCTCCTCAGATGACGAGGTGCTGCTTATCCCCCTGTCTGAAGACACCACTTCAGAGGACGACGTGCCCATGCTCACCTGAATGACTTCCTCCTCACCCACCCAGTTTCCCTTCCCCACTACTTTTCTCTCCTTTAGTCACTGACGACAACTGAAACCCAGTCTTTCCACATTTGTTTGAACTAAAGCACAGGAGTGGCCCACGGTGAGACTTATCCTCTCTGTGCAAGTCTGGTGCCTTTTGAAATTGCTTTGAGTTGGATTTGTTGACATATGGAATCAAGTATTTTGACCATTTTTTAAAAAAAAGACCTCCTAAAGAAAATGTAGACGAAAGGCATGGCTGATGTATGTTGGAGACGAAGTGTAGGTAAGTATTGGATGTGCACTTAATTAATGCTGGGCTGCACATAGAAGGTAAACTTTTGCACAGAAGAATCTTCCCTATCCAGATACTGAGGCAGGCTACTGTCTGATTGAATGCTCAGAGTTCTTATGATGGAAATTATTGTGTTTGTATGACTGCAACTGTGTGAATGCAATTGCATTTTAGTCTTACATAGACAGTGGAGTATGATTGTAGATGTGGATTGTCTCCACATACTTCTGCCACTTGCATCCAGTCTCATCTTGCATCAGAAAAATTACTGAAAAAAACCCCCCAACGTTTCCCCTATTTAAGTGCCTTTTTAAGGAGTTTCCTCTAGACGGCTCAAGGAGATTGAGATAATTCCTGGATACACACTGCACACAGAAACACACAGAGGCTCATATTTTTGTCACATCATAGCACGCATCAACACATCAGTGGCTTTATTGTACCATAAAGAATTGCATGTCTACACTGCAAGCTGGCAATAACGTTTTGGGGCCCCTGTTTTAGTGCACATCGATCGCAACACAACTGCGTGTTTAGGTATGCACGCGTGTACCCTTCCCAACTGAATGAATGTAATCTACAAAAGCAAACGTGTCAAAAGACAATCTCTCTGGTGCCTGATTTTCTGATGTGTGTGAGTGTGTGGTAGTGTGTGTAGTGTGCACAGAAAGATGAGGCGCCCTGGTGATGAAAAGGGGGGCCCCAAATTCACAAAATAACCTCAACTCCTGACAGGACTCAATCGCATTCTGTCACATTTTGACACAACAGACTTGTGGTGTGCCATTTGTATTATTATTATTATTGTACATTTTATTGTGTTTTTATTTCAGCAAGTTGCATATCTTTTTTTTGTTTGTTTGTTTTCTCTTCAGTTGTTCCTTTTTTTTTGCTTTGTTGAATGTATTAGGGTCGATGTGGAGTAGCCAGGAGTTCAAAATTTGCAAAGTTATGAGATAAATAAGAGAGAAAGTGATTTTATGATTTTATTAGGGTCAACTTCACTGTATATAAGTAAAAATGTGGCTGAGATTAAACGATTTGCACTTTTAGGGGCTGTGTGTTGTGTTTTGTGGGGGTGACGCTTCTGACACCTCAGTAAGGAGATGAAAGAGTTGTCGCTTTGTGCTTTGTATTCAAAAGTCCTGCAGGAATTCATGCAGACTCACGAGGGAGCTCTTCTTGGTTGATCTGGAAGGAAGGCAGAAGCTGAAATCATTGCTCTGGTGTGTAGAATAAAAGACAAATGACAGAAGAAAATGAAGATATTTGCTTCACCGCTGAGGCGACATGGCTGGACTGAGGATCGCCTACAAGGTAATTTATAACTGGTAAGTTAAAGCTGCAGAAGAGTGATTGTCAGACCTGAAGTTAGGCACCTGATCTGTCTCCTTTACCAATTAAAACGTGTGTGGAATCAGTACTCGTAGATTAATCGTAGCAACTGGACTTGCTTGAGTTCCTTTTCGCCTCTCAGCCAAGAGGCTTCATCAGTTCTGACTGACTAGTTAGGAGTTCCAGATACTTACATCCTAAAGGAGCCATGATGCCATTGTGTGGAATCAAAACTTTGACTAAGATAACCTTTGAGTCAGTGCAGTTTCCAGTATATCATATTTTAATAATGGTTGAAGTTGTTGTAGTCCAGGATGTTACATCCACCTTCGATGACAAAAGTGCAACACCTAATTACTCACTCTTTGCAAAAAAAAAAAAACCCAAACAACTTTAATCTGACATGGTTTGTGTAATGTAATCTAAGAAAATACAGTATATGAGCATGATGTGATTCAAACATACCATACCACCACATACGTTTGGTAAACAATCGCTGACACTGAAGCAAATTGATCATTCATTACTAAGGAGCACCCTCTTACTATCATTCTGCAATTGAGTTAAATAACATAATATGTTCTACATAATGTGTATCCTGAGTTGCAGCTTTTGCTAATTGCATTGTTTTGAATCACGATTTCACTAAAATGTCCAGCTCTAATTCAAACAAGCTAAACAGACTGATGCAGGAGGGCTTTTATGTAAAGTTGTAATTTATGCAGAGCAACAAAAGTACATTATCTGCATTTCGTTTCATATTTTCTGTTATGTTGTGTGTCTTTGCGTTCAGTAGTTGAACACATTGCATTAGTTACATGATAAACTGTAATCACAGCTGCAGGCAGAGTCAAAAACCCCATAATGCTCACAGGATAGGCCATTAGATCATTCAGTTAACTGTTCTGTGGCACAAATGCAGGAAGGGATAAGTTTTGGTGGTAAACAGAGGATCATTTACCTTTTGGTCTGAAAGTAGACAAATTTGTAAGAATACTGAGCCAGCTGTGTCTTTTTTATGTACAGTACTGTACTGTACCAAGTTTAACAAACAGAAATAGCACCAAGGACATGACGTCAGTGTCCTCAACGTTTGCTGCTGTCTATCCAAAAAGGCTACATTACAAAATTCAATAAATCTATTAAGGAGGACAAACAACAAATTTGACTTGAAATTGTTGCATTTCAGTGTGTTGTGGATATAACTGAGTGTTATGTGTGTGTCTGCAGAGACCTCTCATTTATTTAATAATCCCTCCTTTGTAGCCTGTTGGACATCAGTTTCATAAAGGTTTGTTAGATGGGATCTGCAAAAACCATGAGAAACTTCACATCCTCCCCAAACTAGATGTCTAACAGCCTCCTCCTGCTCTTCCTCCTCCTCCACTGTGACCCTGAAATGGGTTCTAGCCATAATTATGGCTTCACCTCCATCCCAGAGAGTCTGGGTGGGGATGCTGCTGGCGGTAATGCTGGTGGTGGTGGAGCTTCCTGGGGCCCTGCCGAAGTGCATCTTTGATGAGGTTCAGGCTCAGGTCAGAGTGGTCAGAGCTGCACCCGTTCACCCAGACAGCCCACCCAACGAGCCCAGACTCAGAGCACCGATGGGGCACCCGATAACCCCTGGGCGTCAAACAAGTCATCCAGGACGATCAGTGAAACAGAGGAGCGTCCTGGTGGAATCAGGCCCTCCACAGCCAATCAGGATCCAGACTTGGGTTTCAAGAGTGAGTGACAGCCTATCAGAGGCTGAGAAAGAAAGGCTGGAGGCAGCAGTAGAAGAAGCTGTCAAGATGGTGTCTTCTTTACTGTCAGGTGAAAAACCGAAAACTCACACAAACTCATTCATACTCACAACAAAGACAGACAAACATAATGAAATGATGACCTTTAATAGTCAACAGAGTTCTGGGACCGATGCTGCTCAGCAGAGACATCAACAAATACTGCAAGTTCCTTTGGAGGAATTCAAGCTCGATCAACTACAACAGGTGTGTATACTTGTACCTGTGTGTGTGTGTGTGTGTGGCTCCTTCCTTTAAACACACTCCTTTGGCCAGATTCAGATTTGCTTATTTTCAACACTCAAGTTTTTCCACAAAAAATGTCACCCTTAATCAATATATCAGTGAAAATAGATTTGTATTAATACATTTTTCAGTATTACCTTTATTTCATCATCACAAGGTGGAGGTAAGAGATCAGTTAAACTCTACACTGAAAGGTTTCAGCAATCATTTGTGGATTTGAGCCCAACATACAGAACAGCATACCATGACATACTGTAAAGATCACTCTATGTTTCAGCATGGGAACCACCAGGATTAGAAATACGAACAGCCCATCTTTCACATTAGTTTTGAAAAGAAAATCAAAGCATCCTTACAAGCATCTCCACTAAAATGCATTTAAATTGACGAATAGGTTTGTTGTTGATTATCTAGAACAGAGACATCAGGGGTATGAGTTTAAAAAGTTTCAGTTTTCTTCTTTCAGGTGTGGCAGAGCCAACAGCAACTACAGAACTGAGACTTGTTTAGATGTGACAGTAAGTATCAGATGAGTGTGTCCAGTGGTAAGCTGGAAAAAAAAGAAGCATGTGCTCATTTCTGCTGCTTTCCACGAATAATACAGAGTCAAGTCACTGTTGTTTATACAGCGCAGTTAAAACAGCATGTGTGGAGTCAAAGTACTTTCCAATAATGGCATACGATTAACGCTTACAATCACAAACTTACCTGATTACTTTAGAGGGAAACAATTGCAATACTAATACTGTGTATGTTTACCCTCCCTGTTCTCACCAGATCCCAGATGATCACTTGGCTGGATGTGATATTTACCCAGAGGCTGATTCCCCTCAGAGGGTCGTTCTCAGAGCTGAAGGTAGAGGACTCACTGACACCGACTTCGTGCTTTACCTCCACGTACAGGCCACCGACAAGTGCAGAGCCGAGGTAAAGACTCTCTGAAAACACTGACGTCTACTGAAGCATTTAAAAAGGATTGCTTTAAATCAAATATATTCATTTAGCACTGTTCTACTGAAAGGTACAGTTTATTTTAAGACAAAAATGAGAGAAAATTGCTACAATAATAAATAAAAATCTGACAACCTGTACTGTGTTGAGCTTTGAAACGTTATCCAGTTACCACATGATTTGCGCTGCCTTCTATTTACTTTGTTTTTTTCCCTCTCAAATCCAAGAGATCACACATTAAGTTTGTCTAAATAGAGTTTATTCTGCTTCATAATGACACATTTTCGCTGCTTTAAATCATAAAATGCACCATCTGTAATTCCTCAACCTCCTTTAAGCCTTCTTTTGTCAGTGATGATAGATAAAATATAATAAACTGGTTGGTTACTACATTAACTTAGCTCTCCAATGAAAGCCTGTTATAACTGTTTTTATGGTGCCTATTCTCTTTCTCACACTGTAATTATTCTTTACCTCTATCCCACCCAGCCCAACGTGCTGGCCTACGCTGTCCACTGCCAGACGGACACCCACGGGCGACCTGTGGCTGGAGTGGTGGTCATCTGCAGGGACGGACTGACAGGAGCTGCATACAGCCACCAGAGCACAGTGCAGGTATCGTTAAGTCCATGAACAGCTATAATGAGTTTCTAATGTAAAAGTTATTGTTATTTAACGTGACGAGGAAGTGATGATGAGAACGTATGATTGTCTGTTTTCCAGACTGTGATCCACGAGTTGTTTCACGCACTCGGTTTCTCCAAAGACCTCTTCAGCTCCTGGCGAGACTGTTCTTCTTCTTCTCGAGGTTGTTGATATTTATCACAAGCTTTAACACTACGTGTAGTCTTATAATACCCTATATTAGTGTAAAACAGCACAATTTGTACTCTATAACACATACGAGCAGATGTGACAGTGTTCTTGGGCAATTAAATATATTTGTGAGGTTTTTGCATGAGTTTAATGTATAAAAAAATACACTCAGTCAGCATTTATCCTTATTTAGTCACACTTTTATGCTTTGAGATCCATGCAGCAGCACAAAGCCTGGAGGAGGAGATGAAAGTAAGACAAAAAAAGAAGTTGCACATCGAAGGCAGGCAACAATATAAAGAAATAAATGAAGCTACATAAACAGAGCAATATAGCGTTCATTATCACCACCTGTTGCACTATTAAAACGACAAGGAGGCTCACAATAGAGAAAGGTTGATGATCCTCAGCTCTGCAGGTGGAGCAGGGAGGAGTCTGACTCGATCAGAAATGAGGATTGAGTTCAGGTGTGATCTAACTCTTAACTGCAGACTGGGCTTCATCCTGACACCAACGTTTTCTTAGTAAATATGTGAGTTCCTTTCATTCTGTTCATTCGTTACAAGCTGTACATGTTGGCTGAATTCTGTTACATGTGCATTGATAACACATGGTAAATATACGTATGTTCTGTTTGGATAAATAAAAACAGTTGTTGGATTGGATATTTATCCTTCTTTGTCCCTGATGATACCCACAGTGTTCACGACAATACCTGATTCCTCAAACTCCCTCTTCACAGTGTTTATGTGGGAAATTAAACCGCTCAAAAACTCATCACTTCACTGTTTCTCTTTGTTTAAACCTGCAGTGGGAGCTGGATGTTCCCTTCGAGGCAAAGTGACTCACTCTGATGGATCAGGCCAGATGAGGATTTACACCCCGTCCATCATTTCAGCCCTGCAGAAGCATCTGGGCTCCACTGATCCGGAGCTCGGGGGACCACTGGAGAACCTGGTACTGATCAGCTCAAGCCTAAGCACACCTTACCTGCTTTACACCTATGAATGGTTAACTATGTCTTCATCCTTTAGGGTGTATCTCCAGGCAGAGTGTCCTCTCACTGGGAGTCCCGGGTCCTGCAGGGGTCCATCATGGCCGCGGTGCTGGGGGATCCGACCACGGTCCAGATTGATCCAGTCACCTTGGCAGCTTTACAGGACACGGGATGGTACACAGTCAACCTGAACCGGGCACAGAGTCTGGTCTGGGGAGACGGTAAGAGAAGATGGAGCATGCAAAAACACTTAACAGCTGCATGTGGACTCATATTTATAATAGAAGGCTTCAGTGAAAAAAGTTTGTCTGTCTCATGCATGTTAAGATCATGTGCAGGACAAAAAATCTACAATTTATTTATTTTTTTAAATAGCTGAAGGAGCCCAGTTTGGCTCCGTGTCAACCTGCCATGAGAACACCTCATCCTTTTTCTGCACTGACAGGTAGATTTTAAGTATTTTGTTTGTTTTAACTGATATTTTTCAATGGAATCTGCTTCCAGCTCTAATGTCTGCTTTACTCCTCGTCAGTGGATTTGGGTGTCATTTTCTTCACCTCCACAAGGGGGAGTGCCAGACTGATGAATACCTGGAGGGCTGTAGGATGTACAAACCCCTCAAGAATGGAGTAAGTTTGAGTTACTCTTGTGATTTTCTTGATTTTCTTTACAAAACATCATCTCATTATTAATGAAACTATATATTTCTCCTAATTTTTTCATTTTTTTCATTTTCTATAATTTCAAAATTCTCAAAATGTATTTTTTTTACCATTCACATCTGGCCTTGTTTAATTTCTGGGATCTGCATTAGAGGTTGTGTTAAGTTATGAATTAGGTTATGCTGTGTGCATATGTATTTATTTGTTTATTTAATTTTTCACCTATAGTTCCATTTTTTTTACTAGCAGCAAGAGGGCAGTGCTGCCATTTTTGAGTGAGTAGGTGTGTCAGCTCAGGGCTGAAGAAGAGAAGAAGGCTTCATTAGTGGGTCCTGGGCAGGTGTGTTTCCTTTGTTCTTCATTGTGCTGATGACCACAGAGACGCCACTGGTAGGTTGAGTCAGTTTCAACTATATTCAAAGGACTAAATTGTAATTGCTAATTTGAGTTATGTTATGTTGGGATGTTAAATGGTTGTTGATAGATTAATTAATTAATTAAAATGGGTTTGTGTTTTTTTTTTTATTTTAAGGTTATCAACTATTGACCACTCAGCCTGTTTCCTTTCTGAAAAAATGAAATAAAAGATGGAAATGAGTGAAGTTGACCAGCGTCCTCTGTGGTCGTCAATGCCGAGCCGAGTTTAGGCAGACAATGAAGTTCATGACCCAAATAACTCGACAGGTTGTGTATTTTATAGCTGTTGTACCACATTGTCTCTATTTCCCCTCCTCTTGTCTTTCAGAGTGAATGTTGGAAAGAAGAAAACACAGGATCAGCGGCTGAAGAAGACTGCAGAGGGGAGATTTTTGGCTCTGACAGCCGATGCTTCTTTTCCAGCCTCATCAGACAGGTGTGTTTGTGAAAGTTTGCCTCCTGTGTTTTTTTTCTGTTTCTTTTGTTTAACATGCCTTTTCCAATGTCTCCTTTTAGAATCAGAGTCAGTCTGCTGGGTTGAGCAGCTCTGTGGAGGGTCGGTGTTACAGACACAGGTGTACTGGACTGAACAGGTACCAAGTCCAGGTGTCTGGCTCTGGATGGGTGGACTGTCCAGCAGGGGCCACCATTCAGGTAACAACAATGTTGAGTGAGGCTGTTGAGAGGTTTTGTACATACTAACCACTTTCTTTAAAGTGTGTTTTTTTTTTTTTTTACCTAGATGCTGATCTAAAACGGTAAAATATTTAGAATGATTTTCTTCTATTATTGTTCCTGTGATTTACAGTAATTGACTGAATATTATCATTGTGTAAACATTAAATTGCAATATGACTTTGTAAAAATAAAAATCTCATATCAATATAGGTAATTGTTGGCCTCAGAAATCTTCCATGACCATACGCAGTTCATTAAAGTACTTGCAGCCATGATGTGTACACAATATAGGCCTGACTAGCACATAAGTGTTAGAAATAAGAATGTACATATACTCACTCCCACTTGGACTGGAGGACATCTTACATCATGTCCTCTTCTATCAAGGTTTGGCAGACTGGAAGTCATCTTATCAGCCAGTGTTTTTGTTTTATCTGCATGCATTCATGGTGTCATCTTTAAATGTCATGTCCCAACACCTTTTCCACTCATGCAGCATCATGTTACTACCCTCCCACCTCTGTGCTTCACTGTCAGGACTATGAATTCACTGTGGTAGTCCTGATCAGGTTCACACCAAAACCCCATCAACCCACATACATTTTGATCTGATCTCACCAAAGAATGTTCTCCCAACATTCATCATGCACCTTTTCGTGCCCTTTTGCAAGGTTTAATCTTGTAGTTTTGTACCGAGCAGCAAACAAGGGTGCCGCCCATAGAGGATGACTATATGAGGATAACCTAAACACTGTTTGAGCTGTCACGGAAAGGACAATTATATCCTGCTGGTGATGTTTAATAATGCAGCACCAAACAGCTCTGTACTTATTTGACCTGTTGTAATATTATCATTTCTGTTTTGAACCCCCAGACAAAAGGATATGAAGGTTTAGTGTTCTGCCCTGACAGAAGGTTATGTCTCTACCTGGATATCACTCCTCCATCTGCTTCTAATGTGAGGCAAGTATGACTTCACCAACCACCACATTGGTTGATACTAACTTCCTACTAATGCAACTATTGATAGCTTTTTTTGTTTTTTGCTCAGCAGCCCCAGTGACAGTTCAGTCCAGAATGCGACCTGGTCTCCTGTCAGACCACCAACAGAGTCCACTGTAGCCACAGCGCTCTGCTTCACTGCTGCTGTCTGTATTTTGGTTGCACTGATGGCATTTTACAGAAAATGTCGCTCCTGCAAGGTCAGAATTCATCGTGTTGCTGCAGAGGATCACGGTGATCTGTAGGAAAACTGGCATCAGAGGCTGACAAAAATGTGCAGTATTGACTTGAACTATTGCTTTAATGTGACAAACAGGCAGATGATGCAAACCAATAATGTGAGTTGGTTACCTGTTTCATTGCTATTCCACACAATGAGAACAAACAAACAGTGTAGCAGGAAAATAGCACGATGGATTAAAACAAGACAATCAAATAAACCGTGACAGAGAATAAACAAAGACTTTATGGAGCTCAAAAGAGCAACAGAACAGTGAGGTAAGATTACAAAAAAAGAGAAGAAGAAACAAGTATGCATTAATTTACAACAAATGAATTAAAAATCAGTTTAAAACAGTTTGACACATCTATAAATTGATTTATTTCTGTCTAGAAAATCTAAAAGTAGGACAAAAATAATGAAAGACCGAAAAAAAATAGTTAATACACAGTATATATTGCAAACCCACACAAGCATAGCCTATACCAATAGACATCGACTGCAAACACATAACCTACAACTGAAGACATAAAAGGCACCCGATGGCTTAAACAAGCAAAAAAAAAAAAAGTTACCTTATTAGATGCAGTTAATTACATCTAAACAAAATATCAGAATGTCATTTAGAAAACAGTTTATGATATTAAGTCAAACAAGTGTTTTATATTTATCTTACTTTTAGTCACCTTTAAAAACTCAGAACTGTGCCATATGTTCTTCATGCCTACAAGTGAAGACCAAAAAAAAAAAAACCCAAAAAGAAATGTGGTTTAATTTTGTTGGAAGACTAATTTGTGACTAATGTGTTGACTAATTTCAGAAGGCTTCACCTGTTGGCTGCCTGACAGTTTCTTTAAAACCAAAACCCCTTTAGCTGCCTCCCTTCTCCTCGGCTCTCATTAAAAATCTCATGCAGCATAAACTGAAATTGATTTTGAATACCTTCCTGGGTGTATTTTTCTATTTAAAGCAGTCTCCTTTATGTCTTTTGTTGGAATGGGGTTGGGGTTAGCCTCAGTCACTGACAAAACATTTGACATTTTACTAGACTGCACAAAAATTAGCTACTTGGAGAAATGACAGAGAGGAAGGATGCTTATGCTCAAACTCTACTGGATTAAAAAAAAACAGCTTGTGATATTATCAAAAATATTCTATTGAAACTGATAATGAAAATGTGTACATGTATGTATGAAGCTGTGTTTTGTAGACAGCAGTTGTTAATGTTATAAATGAACTTTGTCTTTTAAATTGATTTATTTGCTTTGTGTTAAACAATGGGACAATAATGTCAGTGATCAAGGGACAAAATCAGTCATACAGCTTTAAACGGTGTTTTCTTTTATTGGATCTTAATGATTGTTTCTGATGTTGAAAATACAGATACACACCTGCCTTGTCTGGGTGAACTTAAAATCCATCCATCCATTATCTACACACCGCTTAATCCTCACTAGGGTCATGGGGGGGCTGGAGTCTATCCCAGCTGACTCAGGGTGAAGGCAGGGGACACCCTGGACAGGTTGTGAACTTAAAATGTAAATCAAAATTAGCATTCAGACATATTACCATGTTTACAACAGATTTCTTTCTCACATTGTGTTTAAATTACATTTTCCAGGTAGGTTTTGTCACACTGATTTAAAATAAATTACACAACGCAAACATATCTGTGCTTTAATTCTCCATAAATTGTGGAATGATAAAGCTTCTCAAAAGATTCTGGAAGTTAATTTATTTAATATTTTCAACAAACAGGTTCCATTTTGTATGTACAAAATATAAGTACTTTAATGGATAGTAATGGAGATTCAGAGTAATACCTAACAGACTCATCATGTGTAATTTAAAGCTCAGCCACAAGGAGGCAGAGAAACCACAAATAAAAACCTACTTTAAATGATCTTGCAGAGCTGAGTTATGCCACAAACATGTTGTTTTGATCAATAGTTGTTAAACTGTTACAGGATAGTATAATATAGATACCTTTCAAAATAAATGCATTGTTTCTATGTCGTGTTTTTTAATATTTCTGTCAAATATCTCTTGTTGAGTTAAGACAAGACACTGCATTGCCTTCACTTTCTCCGCCATACAGGGATAGCAGTCTGTCTCGGAGCCACGCCACTTGGGCAGATTCTGAAGGGTGTACTGGTCTTGGAGCATTCCCGCTTTAGTTTAAGGCAAACAAAGCAGAACTCCACGTGGCATCGAGGACATCTAACATTTTTGCAGTATTGTTGGCTGTGTTCCACCTTCATGCCACATGTAGGACAGAGTCGGATGGAGGGGCAGCTGGTGACGTCCGCCACCGCCGGCAGATCGATGGACTTGCATGTCTGCATTAGTTGCAGGTCCCTGTTGATGCAGCCATCGTTGTCGCAGCGGTCAGATCGACGAGCTGACCCCTTCCACGGCCTGTGACACTGCCAGCAGAAGTGGTAGGTTTTCCCCTGATCAGCTGTGCATATGATGCACTTCACACACAGGTTGGAAAGGTCCTTCCTCTCCACGTTTGTTTTGCACTGTGGGCACTGATGTGGACAACAGTGAAGGAAAAAAATAAAGATCCGTCCACTTGATTTGGTTTTAATGATTAAATCAGAGTAAATCCCTGAAAAGTCAGCATGTAAAGCACTGGACCACTTACTGTCTGGAACTCGCAGTATCTAGCAGCAGCCATGCTGGCCATGCTGCCTTCAAAGTGCTGCATTTCCTCAACAGACAGATCAGCCAGTCGGCGCACCTCTTGGTACGACCAAACCTTGTTGCACTGTCTGGTCCCCTCTACCAGTGCGGGGCATCTGAATGTGTTTTCCCCCTTAAAGCACAAACAATAATCACTTTAGAACTACAGGGAGCAATCATGGGAGTTTTTATTTAAGTAGAATCTGAGGTACCTCAGAGCTTTTACTTCATGTGAGTATTTCTGTTTGTTGCAAGTTTATGCTTCTGTTCTCCAACTTTTCTGATATCTCTTTTTACTTCTGTCCTGGTTTTGGTTTCTCATTCTCATCTCATTCTGGTCTTGTGTTTCATCGTCTATGTCCCTCTCTTTGTCAGTGTACATTTCAGGTCCCTTTTCATTGAGCTACTTTGTGCGTCTCAGGTGCTTGTGCTTCCTCCCTTTGTGTGTTTTCCCTCTTTGATTGTCTGTCCTGCCCTCATTGGTTTCACCTGTATCTCATCAATTAGCCTCTCTGTGTAAAGAGCATCTCATCCCGCCTTCTCAATTTGATCAGGTGACTTTGATTCCGTGGTGTTGGTACAGAAACTGCATTTGTTTTACCCCATCCAGCTGGCTGCGACACCACAGCGTGAGGGATTCAGGCGTGACAGCGTGGCCGCAGGACATCTCTGCTCTGAGGGAGTCATTTAAGGCTGAGGTGGACAAAAACAACACAACATGGTAATATGCAATTCATACAACTCTGAGGAACTGGTAACACTGAATTCAAACAGTAATCAGCAGCTCATGAAAATATAAAGAGACAACTTACAAGGGGAGGAAAAAAAACAACAACTAAAACTAATGTTTCTGGCTCAACTACTGAAGAAAACTAATCTTACAAAGTGGATCCAAGTCGTCCCCTCTGGTGACAAACTTGAGGGTGGTGTCTTGTGGGTCATATCCCTTCTCCACCTCTGGGAGTCCCCGAATGCTCATTTTCTGTGGAGGACAAATCTGGCACTATGAAAACTGAAAAACAAGATTTACATGAACACTTTATTCTGAAAATAGTTCATAGTATTTTTCTGTAACTCCCATTTTTGTTGTTTGTATTCGGTGGATTTGGGGCATTCGGTTGTCTTAAGCCTTGAAACAGTTCTTGTAATTTGGTGGCTTCAAGTGATGTAAACAGGAAGTATAGTCAGTCTGTGGGTTACAGGGAGCTTTGTGTTTTGTTGTGTAACATTTTGACAAACTTCCATTATTAAAATATGTCACATTACATACATAGATAGATAGATAGATAGATAGATAGATATACAGAAGAATGTAAAACTAATATGTTGGTGGTCAAAAAAATAGAAACAGGGTGCCAAAATGCTGGTAGTTACAAAAAAAGGTGCAAAAATTGTTATTTACTATAAAATGGAGTATTAGATAAGTGTAAAAAGGTGCAATGTGAAAATAGAACTAATAACAAGCATAAAAGCTGTTGCTGTATCTGGTTACAACATATAGAAGGATGTACAGACAACTATCACGGCATCATTTTGACAAGGAAGATGTGTTAAAAATAAAACCCAAGATAAATCTAAGACAAGTTTCAGGTTAAATGTGCTTATTGTTCTGATTTCTAAGTGAACTTATGTGTGTGTCACATTAAATCTAATAACACAGTAGCTTCTGAAAGTATTCACATCCTTTCATTTTTTTGGATTCTTAACTGTGTTTTATTTTAAATATATGAAGATGTCATTATTCTCGAATCAACCACTACTAAGCAGCCAGTAAGAATCAATAATTTCTCATTTACAAAACGAATCACACTCTTTGCTGTGACTCCACACTGTGGTCAGCTGTGCTTCGCCCATCCTGAGGTAGCTGACACCTTTGGCCACTTGCTTTGATCAGAAAAAGTTCACATCTGTGCATATCAAGTTATACAATTCACACTGAGTGATGGAGTCCAGTGAGCTCTTTGCAGCCCAGAATAAAACTGTGGTGAGGCTATAAACCATATCTAAAGCTCTGAGTGCTTCCTGGAGCAAAGCGCTCTGAGTGATGATGAAACGAAAAAGCATTCGTGGTTGTGTGATACACAGCTGTGTTTTATGACCTGTTTTGTTTCCCGTCTGTCTTTTTTTAGCGATCTTTGTATCGTGATCTCTGTTTTTATGCTCTCCAGCTGTTAATTTTTCACAGATTTTTATTGATAATATTCGTTATTAAGCTTTGTAAGTTGTGCTTCTGCTCAGTGATTTTGTTCAGAAAAGTACGATATCTATCTATCTATCTATCTATCTATCTATCTATCTATCTATCTATCTATCTATCTATCTATCTATCTATCTATCAAAAATGAGAGGTGTCATTTTAAATTTTTTAAATAAATTAAAAGATTTTAAAGCTTACTTTTACTTTATCATTATGAGTGACAAAGTGCAGACTAAGAAGAGAAAATGACGATATTTATTGATTTGAAACTGAACTTCCTACACTCTCAGTTGTGGAATTGAGTGAAAGTTCTCTGAATTGACTGTATTAAGAATAAACTGATTAATTAAGAGGGGTTTCAAAACCTCTGACCTGAGATAGACTGTGGGTAAACAAATATCATGGCCGTCATCAGCTGATTTTCATGAACACCAGTAACACTGACTCATTCAGGGAACTTCCAGCTGCTACACAAGTAAACAACATATAATTTATGTGAATATTATTACAAAGTTCAGTTTAACACCTGGTATATTTGTAGAATGATTAAAAAATATATAAATAAGGCAGGAAAAATCATCATTTTTGTATTTGTTCCAACCACCGGATGTGTGCAGTAACTTAATAGTAGATTTAGTTTAAAAGCAGGAAGAGTGGATTTAAATGAATAAATGTTCTCTTACCTCTGTTCAGTGGCACACCTCCAGTCTCTGTAGTTTTATCCTTGTGTTCAATCTAAACCAGATCACCTGAACTCAGCAGTGGAGGAAATATTTTTGCATCAAATCTTACTTTTGAGAGACCTCTCACGGGGCTGCGTCTAGTTCCTGCTGTTTGTCTTTGTCTGCGCGTTCACTCCTTCAGTCTGCGCATTTCCTCATTCTTCAAAATCGAAAGTGAAACTGTGCAGCGCTTCAAACCAGACGGGCAGCACGGTGAGTGTTCTCGTGTTTTACCCTCCCATTTTACTACATACAAGAAGTCCTCATGTGCCTTATCGCAGCTTAAGACTTACAGTGTGGCACTTTATTGTTTATTATCGTATTGCTGCAACTATCTTTAACAAAACCGCATTTGGAGGCGGCGGGGAGACGAGGAGAGGCTGCAGAGGTTTCCATGACACCCCAAACACTGCTGCCTCATTGTGTTCAGACAAAATGAGAAATCAGCTGTTTGTTATTGCTGTAAATCCGTCAAGTTTTGAGCTGTTGTGTTGCCATTTAGGTTAGAAATCAACCTTCTGCATAGATTTTGAAAATTAACAGAGGATAGACTTTTTTGATCCCTCCTCTTAGAAATTTAACAGCTGGATGCAAATGAAGCACAGTAAAAGAAGTACTTTTGTATTTAAAAGTAATATGAGAGTATAAATAAAGTAATATGCATATATTATTTCACTGGAAGAGCTGTAAATAAAATAAAGAAACAGGTTTACTTGATGCAGATGCTGAAGCAGTGGTGGAGGAAACACTTTAACGAAAAGAACCCAGATTTTTCTTTTAGGTTTCACTCATCTGAGTCTTTTTCAGCCTCTTGTGCCACAGATATAAGATCCTACCTCTGAGATTGTTGGAGTTAAGATTTTTCCTCTCTGGCACAGATATAAGGTATTTAATTGCTGTTAGTATGTCCCATCTCTGCTCCTAAGTGAGGTCTGCTCATGGGCTGCTTAAAGCACAAATTAAATACTTAGCAATAGCAAAATAATCCCTTCCTGGCTTAAAAATGACTTAGATGTGACTCTATACCTTTGGCCTCATCTGGAATATGCAGATCTATGCAGTCCCTCCCTCCTCTGTCATTCATTTTATTATCCTCTGGTACGCGGATGGCTAAGCAGCATTCCATTGTTGAATCTGGTGGATGTGGAGCTAACTTTAACAGTAGTTCTGATCATGTTTTGCAGGCCTGTGTTAAATCTGAAATGTAACTTGAAGTGTGGTCGTTTCTGCAGCATAATCCTGTAGCACTCCCCTCTGACTGTTGTTAACTTTTGATGTTGTCCTGTATTGTTCTGTATCTGTCCTCGTTATAAGCAGTGGAAGTAAAATAGTTGACACATCAAACTGCCAAATTGTGGCCTTCAACGTCATATTTCTGTACATGCTTTCTAGACAATTCTGTTTATTCTTTACTTGTGCTTGCTGTTGCTTGACTTCTACACAGGGTGAATCCATGCACCTGGAAAAAGGATGTTCAAATGTAAAGATGACATCACTGTCACGAGAAGGACATCAGCATGAATCGTTATGTTGTAGAAACGTTCAGAAAGAGACTGGAGGACTTTTCCATTTCAGGTAAGTGACATGAAGCAAAACCACTAAGAGACTACGTTCTGTAAAATATCTTGGCTGAGTTGTTGAGAATTTATTCTGTTTTCAGCAACATATTTCCTGAATTCCATCTGAAGTGACAGACCGACCCTGAAGTCATGTGACTCCTACATGTCTGAGTGACGTGATAATGTTCTAAAGTTATGTGTCTCGTGTCACTGTTGTGTCTTTAGACTACCATGGTCTGATCAGTCCAGGCCTGACATGCTACCTGAACTGCGTCCTCCAGGTGCTTTTCATGACTGAAGACTTCCGGGAGGCTGTGAAAAGGTTTGAAACGTCAGCTTTGTTTGACTTGTCTTTATATTTTGAGATATAAAAAATCAAAGGAGTTGTTTGTGAAGCTCTTTGCAGTATGTTAGTAGAATAGTTAGAGTTTGGGAAGTGATTGTACTGTTTCAGCCTGCAGCTAGTGAGCATGGACGCTCCTGGAAGCTACTCCCACATTCAAGAAATAACCCGGCACATAACCTCCAGTAAAACAGCGAAATGTTTTACACTTCTGCTGATATAAACCTGCAGTGTAGAACTTTTGAGTCTTTTTATTCAGGATGCTTAATAGGATTTTCTGCAGTACTCCGAGTTCCTTTAACGTGCTCCGTCTCTGTTGCTATGGTGCAGAGATGCTCTTCACCTACCAGTGCAGAAATGTCACTACAGACACTAGTTTTAAAAGTCAGGTTTACTGCAAAGTAAAGAGAGATTAACTTGGCTTTTTGAGGCCTGGCGTGAATGTAACTTGTACCATTTGTTTAGCTGTAAAAGTCCCACACTTCAACTTTAAGAACAGAGTAGAGTAGAAAGCCTTTATAGTCGGTGTATTGTGCAGAATAGAGTGTAATCAGGAACGCTGCTCCTGATTGGTGCTTTATAAAAACATCCAGACAAATAGTAACTAATTAAATCTTTTTCAAATCTAACGCTAAAGGTTGTGTTATTGTCCACCAGTGTGAATGTTGCTTATTGCAGTATAATTATTATACAAGAACTAAATGCAGTTATTGCAAAAGTTTGCATGAAAATTTTTGCACAAGAATAAATGAATGCACATTCACACCTTGTTGGAGTTCAGTGTACCAACGGTTCTGGCAAAGCAACCGTCTTTTAGTCTGGTGGTTGATGCAGAGTCCTTTCTAATGCTTGTGGTTCTGCTCTGTTTTGGGCTCAGCTAAGACAAACAGCTGCTAGATCAGCAGAAATTCACAAAATATTCAGCTAAAAACTGAGTGAGAACTAAGGATTGAGAAGAGGGTAGGAAATTGGTGCAGTTCACATTTGCAGAGTGTTTTTTTTTTTTTAAATCATATTAAATAAGCTGACTTGGCTTCATCGGCTGCAGGTTTATACTCACACGGCGTGTTATTGTGCCCACAGATCCTGCAGTAAAGATCCAGCAACCATTGACCGATATCTAAGAGAGCTATTTGGGAGTTTGGAGAAAAGGATGGCCAAAACGCATAAGCTTACAAAAAAACTGGGCATCACAGACGGTAGGTTTTGATTTGAGACACTTGTATGTTACAATCCTGCAGATTCTTAAGCCTGGCACCATCAAGATGTTTCAACTCATTCCTGCTTTCAGTATACGAGCAACGGGATGTTGCTGAGTATTTTGAGAAGATCTTGTGTTTGACCAGTCCAGAGGCTTCCAAGGTAGGGACTGATTTTCTTTCTTTCTTTCTTGGGCCTGATTTTCTTTCTTTCTTTCTTTCTTTCTTTCTTTCTGTCTGTCTGTCTGTCTGTCTGTCTGTCTCTCTTTCTGTCTCTCTTTCTGTCTGTCTGTCTCTCTTTCTGTCTCTCTTTCTGTCTGTCTGTCTCTCTTTCTGTCTGTCTGTCTGTCTGTCTCTCTTTCTCTCTTTCTCTCTCTCTTTCTCTCTTTCTCTCTCTCTTTCTTTCTCTCTTTCTCTCTCTCTTTCTTTCTCTCTTTCTCTCT